CACAAGCTTTGTCTAAATGTGGGATTTTTTAATTTTTGTGTGTCACTTATACAGATGTTGAAAGCCAGCTATAATTAAACGATGAATATGAAACGAAATATACCTGAGCAATCGCTTGAATGTGTCATCAAAGGGTGAATAACAGACGAGAGACTCTAAACTGAACAAGACTACTTTTCATGATCTGAAAGTCAAATTTACGGGAAAAACGATTTTGAAATGAAAATAAATCAGTTGAGCCTGGATATATTGAACCTTCTGAAGTAAAATACCCCCTACCTAGATTTTTTCTCAAGTCCTTGTCTGAATTCTCTTGGAAATGATGCATTCAAAACCTCTATAATCACTCCAAGACTTCCCCCTCAACCTTCTATATATTGATTTCTTTGTGTCTTTCTGCTATTATTTTATTGATACAGGATAGATAAAATACGCAAAGAAAATTAATTTCATGTGTTTTGAAAGGAAGTGAAAGTCTAATTAGGCAAATGAATCCATCATGCCTCCAGCAAATTCAACTGTGTCCCCTGCCAAAATGAGAAATTTTAAGGTCTATTAGAATTTAATATTGAAATTTCCAGCATTATTACTCATTTTTTCCCAAGAACATGCTCATTTCCCCAACTCAAAATGTCCATTTGTCTAATTTTCCTGCTGATTGTCTCTTAAAGTTTGACTTGTGCTTCAACCTGCATGCACTGAATGTGTGAATGTTGTCATTATCTTTGTTGCGAAGTCACATCAAGTGTTTGAGGTCTCTTTTTTTACCATAAATTGTCACATTCCAAGAATTTGAAATGCGTATAAAAATGAGTTTGTCAAAATCATACATATATCTAGTGTAGTACACTTCAGAGTTATGAAGCCTCTTTTTTCCTGATGCAATAAAATTTATGATTCACTTTCTTATTTTTAAAGGTGTAATTTCATTTGAATTTTACACTATATTTACTGCATTGTTTTTTCTGAATCGTTGAACGATTGTCCCAAGGAAGGTGAAGAATACTTCCACAGGAAAGGGCATCATTCATCCCCAATCTCCGTAGACCAAACAGGCTGTGCTTCTCCCCCTTTCCTCCACTTTCTCATCCGTATCTCCATTCTGTATATTCCCAGCTGAGTCAAACTTGCTTTTCCTGAGATACTGCACGAACAGAGGAAAATAATGGCGAAAATATTCGGAAATGTGTTCATCGTTTTTAAACGAATATAGGGGAGTCGATGTCGACCATACTACAATGCATGTAGCTAATGCATGCATGTTTATGTGCATGCATGCACATAAACATGTTTATGCACAGTCGAATTTCTTCAAATCAAATTCCAAGGGACCAACAAAAAATTCGAGTCAGGCGGGGACAGAGAATTTTTAATTGTGGGAAATATGGCAGGAATATGGAATTGCAGGACATTTTAAAAGGTGATACAGCTGGTGTCCCTCAATTTGACTTTAATACATGGCTGGACCATGGTCAAATCGTGAGAAAATGTGGAATACACTCTCTTTTTTTTACATTGTATTTGACATTTTGCATCTCTATGTAGGGCGAATTGTGGAGCAGAGGGCAATATTCCAAGTTGACCTCTGAGCAAATTTCACATCAAATTGCAGAACAGATGAATTGTACGGTGGTCAAATTGAAAGGTACAACTCATATTCTGGGCCTCATAAATTGCTTCTTAAATGAATTGGCAGGATGATGAACTTGGCAGTATAAGGGTTCATTTGCCAAATTAGTGTTCAGCTCTTATTTTCAAAACACATCATTTTATTTATCTTCTTTTGTTCTGCATCAAGAAAATAATTGGCAAAAGGCCTTTGAAAATTCACGTTATGGAGGTTTGAAAGGAAAAGCCTTCAATTTATAAGGGTTTTTTTTTTTTTACCTGTTGCTTCTTGGGGAAATTCAGACAGGGACCAAACTAATCCAATTAGGGAGGTTCCAGTTTTATGGACTCACAATAAGTGAAATTTTGGTCAAAACGGGATGAAGAGCTGATAAGCAGATCCAAAGCGGACCAACCATACTAAACACCCAGGAGCATTTCAGCTCCTAATATGTATGCAGTGTACATTGAATTTCAATTTCGTCTTGTCATGATGGAAAATAAATTTGAAGAGCTAGGTTATATATATATATATTTACATACGCTGGGATCGAAGAACATTTCTGGACACGCGTACGTCTTTCCAGAAGTTGCACAACTGACGAATTCGTGACCTTATGTGCGGAACTTCCGAGATCAAGCGATGCTTGAAACAAATTCACGATAACTGCGACGAAGAAGAAAGTTCAAAGCCAGCAGCATAACTTCAAATGGAAGGTCGAAGTGCACACCCCCTGCATGTCTCGTTGCCCATAGGGAATTGAGGGAAAGATCCTCTTATGCTGTTCTCTGGTTTTTCCGGCAATATAATACGATCCGAAGTGCGATGAATTTATACTGTGGTACAGTACGATACAGTAGAGTGTAGGGTGTGGTTGAGACAAGCAGGGGTTTCCATGAAAAAAAAAAAAACGAACGAGAAACTCGAATAATCAATTAGCATTTTATTTATGCATCGGGCGTTTGTTGTATATCGGAGGCGTTTTCCCATACAGTACCATCATCTGAAAGGAGTAAAAAAACTGTATTTCATTGGGAAGAATACGATAATAATAATATATGAATACCATTGAAATTATGTCATTGGATTCCAATTGAGTGGCTTTTTGAATTGAGCAGCATCACAGCAATTTAATTTTGAAGTACTGAACCTTTTTTACTCGAGTACCACGCGTCTTTGAGTAAGCCACACACCAGAAATTTTTAGTCAATTAAAACTAAAAATAAAGTGACTACTTACTCCTGAGAATAAGACTCGCATCCCATTTTTAGTGACTCTGAAACTTCAATATTTCAACATAAATAAAGCATCCAAATTTTAATTCAGACAAGTGTTGATCAAGAATTCAACTATTGGGCATTTTTCCATTACCGTAAGTTTTTCTGGTAAAATCGGTTGAAAATGTCCCATTAAAATCGAATAAAATGCGTGCGTCAACCTTTTATTAATTTTTAAGGCATACCCTCCAGGATTTTCCTCTCAATTTTAAGAAAAAATGTGCGCCTGCATCAGTACTTCAGTAAATTTAGAACATTTCATGTGTATACTCAGGCCTGATTGTGTACTGCAAAAAATAGAAAGCATGCTTTTTCTTTTTGCAATGCAGTGCAAATTATGAATCTCGAGTGAATTGGAAGTAATCACTCCGTAAAATTTGTTTATTCGATTTAGAATGCTTATAAAAATACCGTACAGTACTGTATATTAAAACCGCCGCCTCCTCCAAGGATGAAAATCAATCAATGGATTTTTCGCACCAACGAATCTTCAGTCTAATTAGACAACGGTTCTAGTTTTCCATGCACGGTTGAAAGCAGTTTGCATGGCTACATAATTTTGTTGTTGCTGAGAATATATAGCACGTGTTTCATGCGTGATGCGATACTTTGTGAAAGGGTGCAAGTGCAAATTATTTTGACATTTCCTGGTTTTTTTGCACAAAATTATTGTTGCTGCATATAGGACTATATACAAACCTCGACTGTATTATGGTAATATATTACCGCTCATCACCAGCAGTTTCGGAACTTCATACACGAACATTCCGTGGTTCCGGCAAGGATTGCTTATAGCGACATCTGCTTTCTTTGGACTAAAGTTTTAGAAGATGTAGTAAGGTGATGAAGATAGGGTTCTCTGGAGACTCGAGCATGCTCGAATACGAACTGCACATGGTACAGCGTATGTATATTGCTATATTCTGCTGTTGTCCTATAGTGCATATAGACTGATAGAGAGATGCATGTCATGAAATCGAATTGTGACACAGCTAAATTGCTGGGTACTATACTCCGTAATTAGTAGAATACAAGTGCTGTATAGTGTATACTGTATAGATATAGTGAGACGCTCACATACAGCACACGAATGCCCCGGCATATACAGGTACGGACAAGGTCTCCAGATTTTTACAGGTATCCAACATTTCTATATACAGTACAGACATTTAAAAATTTTCCTTTTGGATTATGTATATGTCTGGAAAGAGTGGAGCTATTTATGTTTACAAAAAATAATTTGAAAATAGGAAAGCATGTGGCTGCATGAAACATGGTCTGCTAGGTGCAAGGGAATGTCAGAAAGTATTTGATGACATTTTTGTATCATTTTTTCAAGACAAACGTCTCAAAATTCTTTCGTGTATATTACTTTATTATACTAGGTAGTGGAAGAAGTGATTCTTCCTCCATGACCTGGCATGAAAAGTGAATAAATATAGATGTTCACTTTGAATGAACCAATTGAACCATCTTATATAAAGTCAAGGTAATTTTGTCATAGTTCTTTTCTTGCATTTCAAGGCATTCAAATTAGTCAAAACATCATACCCGGTTCAATAATTTTTGCAAGTGTTCTCCAACAGCTTTACACTTTAAACCTATGATGCGCTGAACTAAGTTCAGGGTAGAAGGGTTTCAATCATACTTTGTAAAACAAATATTACACTCAGGTGCGAATATTCACTTCATTGTTGACAACGCGGCGTCCTTTCATTCCTTTTTCTTTTGAGCGTTTCAGTAGCGTTTTCACTCGATAAACTGGTAATTCAGGCAGGACGACTGCTGGGAAATCCGGGCACATTTCTGCTTGCGAAATGATCAAAATTATTCATTAGTTACTAGTAGAACGAACAAAACACGTTGAGAATTTGAATATCTATGAAGCATCAAAGTGGAGCGCAAAAATGCAGGGCATATCGGATCATACGATAAGACGGTCTGCAGCCAGAATCAGCGAGGTTCATTTATTTTATTTTTAGTTTTGTGGCTGGGTGCGTTTGCAAGGCAAATGAGCACGCATAGCACTGTGTACAAGAGCGTGAAGAATGCGGCCGATGACACTGGGCTCACGTTTTTCGCCATTTTCACGACACTGTGGAAAAACTGTGTGGCTTCTTGTTGGCGGACGTCGACATGCAGTCAGCATTGTCCGAAAATAAGCATGCATACATTTGCGTCATTTGTGTTCATCCTCATTTCTGCTCATTTTCTTGTTGAGTTTGTGCAACATGGTGTTGCAGCTGTGGCAGTCAATTTTACAGGTGATTGATAATGCTGTTTCCTACCTTTATTCACCTTTTTTTTTTAGATATTGCAGTTCTTTATGTTTGCCAATGGATTATGATGCCAGATGTATGCCTACTGTATTTATGCATGTATTTCGCTCTTTCTTGTGATAACAGCCAACGCAGAAACAGGAGCAATGATGAGAAGGAAGAAGAGGATGACAGGCTTATTGATGTCATGGCATGCACAGACAGCCATTGGAGCACCACTGACAGCTTACAACAGTGAGCATGCATTTAATCACTGTGTCTAGCATTTCTTTTTGCTATACAGTTTGGTCTTACCCCTTAACCCTTGGGCGGCAAAGTTGGACTATTTTTGCAAAATTTTGTTGCACCTCAGAGAGGTGAAGAAAAAAATGACAACAGGTGGTAAAGGACAAAGTTGGGAAAAATCCGTACATTTTTTACCCTGGGTGCAGAAAATTAAAAAAATGCTCAGGGAGGCTACCGGCTTTTCTCCAATTAATCCCAACTTTGCCTCAGCCCACCTGGAAGGATTTTCCTGACCTTCAAATAACTTAAAATGAGGGAGCATACAAAAATAATCCAATTTTGTCCTGCTATGGGAAAGAACCCTCAGCCATCTGAGGGTTAATTGGATGGTGGCAGGTGAATTTACATTCTTTGGTTGTGCAATAGGCTAATTATGTACACAGATATGATTCAGTCTGACCAAAGGGGACCAAAATGCAGCCTTGGTTGAGCAGCTGAATTCCAGAAAAATACTGTACAGGAATGAAAGGGAAGGTTGTTATCTATGAAATCCCACAATATTGACCCAATGATAGGAATGTGGGGGGAAATGATACCCTGCAGTGAATAATTTTTTTTTTTCAAAGAAATTTCTCTGCACAAATAAAACATGTGCAATTTTCCCATACATTTGCTCTGCTGATCAGGCCAGATATTTTTTTTTATACAAAAGTGTGTGGATAGATCCTGGCCTATTGCTGCAGAAGGGTTAATAACAAAACTTCATGAGTTGATTTATTCATCTACCTGAAGTCCCTCATCTCAAAAATGTTCCCCAAAAACCTCTTCAAATTCTAAGTATATGGATGCCTTTTGGCTGTTATTTGTGGTAGCCAGGAAGGACAGTCATAAAAATTTAACTTTATGCTTTACAAAAAGAAGTTATTGACTAATTTTAAAAAAAATAGCATTTGCCTTCAAGTTGACCATCCTGACAACTCATTTAAAAGACAGTTCAAGGTTCAGATCAATAATCCAACTTTTCCCCATCAAAATAAAACACAAACTATAGTTTCATCTACTTGAGAACTCTTCAAGAAAAATTTTTGCTGGTCCCTGGATTTCAACTCAAACAGGTTCAACTGTATCAAAGTTCAGTTGTATCAAAGTTCTGTAAGTCGAATTTCTAGGGACCAGAAAAAAATTTGACATGGGAAGGTTTTGACTTATGGGAGGTTTTTATTTTTGCAGGTTTTGAATTAAGGAAAAAATAATTCTTGCTGTGAGGATTAGTAAACAAAATTGCAGGAAATTTTAAATGAAGAGATTCTGTGCCTAAACTTGCATCTTGGTGAAATTTTACTATGCTGACCTTGGATGCAGGGGTTCATTTGCTATATTTGTCTTTCAATCCCTTCCAAGATGCATCAAATTATTTGTTTTAATCATTTGCTCTCTCATATTTCACAGAAATAATAACCAGAAGGCCTCAGAAAATTAGACTTACAGAGGTTTCAGAAAAAAAGAATTTGAGTTAGGGAGGTTTTTAATGTATTGATTTTAAGGGAATTTGGACAGGGACTTGAAAAAAATTTGACTTAGGGAGGAATTTGACTTACAGAGGTTTGACTTATCCAGGTTCACGTGTACGATACTATAAACTCTTTCCCTATTAGTCAAATTCCACAACGCCAGCAAAAATTCAATTTGAGGAGTTTTTTAGTTGGGAAAGCCAGCATTTTTGTGGGTTAAATGTTTTAAATAAAGAATTGTAAAATTGTAATCTGTTAGGACTCCAACTGTAGAAAAAATGATATGAAATGATGCTGAACTTAAAAACAAGGGTTTGATTGTACAATTATACAGTATAGTCACTCACTTCCTTTTGAATATCATCTAGTCAGCTTTTAATGCTATTCCTGTTCCTTTGCTCTCAAAAAAAAGGTATGAATTAATTTTAGTTGTGTAGTGGCTAATTAGAGGGTAAATATCTCTGAGTTAGAGAGATGTGGGTATGTTCTTGCTGAAATTCAGACAAAGCTGGCGCACACAAATTTTGCAAAAAAAGGATATTTTACCACGTTTTTATGAACTCACTTTCTTGTCTGTCTGTCTGTTTGTCCGGATCAAATTTTGAAACTCAAATTTCACTCACTTCCAGACTAGCTAGCAAGCTGAAACTTTCAGGATAGCCTAGAAACTGATGACAATGCAATCTTATGTGAAAAAATTAATTTTAAGAATATTTTTTAAAAAGAATAAAATAATTATAGTAGATTTCTATAATAAAACTTTGAGCAGGTTTTCCTTGGCCCCAAGAAAAAAACCCATGGTGAACTGAATTGGTCGCAGAGGTCCAAGTTCAATCCCACCCCCTGGAACATTTTTTTTCTAATTAATTAACACGTTTTTATTAACTCACTTTCTTGTCTGTTTGTTTGTCCAGATCAAATTTTGAAACTCAAATTTCACTCACTTCCCGACTAGCTATCAAGCTGAAACTTTCAGGATAGCCTAGAAACTGATGACAATGCAATCTTTTGTGAAAAAATTAATTTTAAGAATATTTTTTAAAAAGAATAAAATAATTATAGTAGATTAAAAAATTAATCTAAAAAACCACGTTTTCAAAAAGCAAAAAATAACCTTAAACGTGGTGCGCATGGAGATTGTTGGGAAGAAGTGAAATACAAATGAAATAGATGCGCACCACATTTAAGGTTATTTTTTGCTTTTTGAAAACGTGGTTTTTTAGATTAATTTTTTAATCTACTATAATTATTTTTTCTTGGGAAGGTTCACGCTATCCAGCAGGTTCACCTTTATGTTTTATTGGCATTGAATACCTGCTTAACTGATGTGAAGTATCATATAATCATGCACACTCACACAAATATACTGTATACTTAGATGAGTTCCCATTTGTGGTCTCAATCCGTGTGAGACGGACCCATTTGTGCGGTGGAGCGATAGTGTCTGCGTTCCACGTGCTCACGTCGTCCGTGTGCTGCATGGATGTTGAGCCACTCGCTGAAACTGCAGCTACAGTGGTTGCAGGGTCCCACAGACTCCTGGAAAGTGACGAGAATGAGCAGAGTCGCAAAATTGCAAGCGTCAGCATTCATCCTCGTCAACTGTGAGTCCATCTCAAGTGTTGCTGTTGGGGGCATGCGTGGGTCAGCAGGAGATATAAGATGCAGACATACACAGTGCTGTTCTGATGCATGGTACAGCATTTATTTGAGTACCATGTGCACCCTTTCTCAAGAAATTGAGGCAAAAATAAAAGGATGAACCCAGTACATGGGGATACATTTTTAAAAGAAAAAAATCCCCAAACCCAGTGCTGGTCACAGTATTTTTGCATGTGAGTGCATCTATTATAAGCAACAACAACAAAGATGAAGAGGAAATCTGCGGCATCAAGTCTCCTTGTCCAGCATGGGAAAACATAATTGGAAAGCATAACCAATTTTAAGAATACAGATGGACTCTCTCTACAATGAAATTTAGGGGGCCCAAAAAAATTTTTGTGAGAATGTCACCATTGAGGATCCCACATAGCATAACATGAAGAGAACCCAATGGGACCACCAAAAAATTTTTCTATGAAGAAAATTGTTCAAGACAAGATCATTGCAGAGAGTCCACCTGTATACCAGTTGGAGATGCAACAGCAGGCAGTAAAGGAAAGGAATAATATTCACATAATGGAGGAAAAAGGTATCCTTTGTTAGCAGGTTTCAACTGCTCCAGTACACAATAAAAACCGGATAGAAAAAATATTTGTGGGTAAAAATGGATCCACATATATGCAGAAGAGATTTTACCATTTTTCAGTTTCAACAAGAACAGAAACTGGTTCATTCTGGGTCTTCTGCAGGGATAGGTTGTTGGTACAAAATTCTCCCACCAAAAAAAAAAATTACGGTGGATAGCATGCCTCACTTGAGGCAATGTGGTATACAGTACCATTGGCATGTGCTGTATGTCTGACGCAAAAGACAAAATGCCACAAGTTGCTATCATTATATATGCACTGGACTGGTGATGCTGATTATAATATGCAGTGAGACCCCAAGATATGGATATACTTGGTGCATCAAGAGTGTCCCTAAGTTGAAATGTCCTCAAGTCAAGTTGGGTTTTCCCATAGACACATTATAAAATTTTAAGTGGTGCTTTACATGACAGAAATATATGAAATACATTCAAATGCTCTCATTGAGTATATTCAATGAGAGCAAATGCTCTCATTGACCTCTGATGTACATTACATTGAAATGTTGATATTCATTTGTCAAAAATAGAGACGGAAGTCCCTCTATACTGCAGTTATTTTTTTTAATGAGCTGAATGGATGGATAAAGGCTGGGGAAAATACCTAAGAATGTTTCTTCCATAGATCCTAGGGTTGAAAATATGTCTTACAATTCAGCCTGATAAAAGTCACTTTTTCCAAAACTTATTGGCAATTGTAACACACAAAGTCTGCATGTCAAGTCACTGTCCTCATGTCAGGCCTTTTTTATGCCTTTTTCATTGAAAAATAGATGTCCCTATGCTGAATTGTCTGGATGTCAAGGTGTCCACATGTGGAGGTCTCACTGTAAAGTACATCAATTATTATCATGCTTATGATTATCATTATGGCTGCAGGAAGGTGTCTGGTGCCCTATATGCCTATGACGCATGCATTGCAAAGCTTGGGAAAGGTTTGCGTCTGGATGAAACAGTGTCACCTGTTCCCCTGCAACCTGCACTGCCATATATGGGAACCCGTTTCATGCCAGGTCAGAAGTCACCAAATTATGGTACCCATTTCATCCTCAGCTAGCCCTTGCATAGTTTATTTTCAACTTATATAACATATAGGTAGACTATCTCTCTTACATTCTTGATTCTCCATATTTCTTTGCATTTTTTCTAGAGATAATTGATGTTATCCACAGTAAATAAACGCAATGAAGTAAAATATTGAGTACAGTTGCACCCATTTAAGTTTAATTCCATGGAACCAGCAAACATTTCAACTTATTTTTGATAGTGGAACCAGAATTTTTTGTGAAAAAAAACCTTGAAATAAAAGAAAGAAGATAAAATTGGTGGTAGTTTTGGCCTTAATCTGTTAGAACTGAGATGACAATAATGATGAACTTCAAAACAACTAAACAAGGGTAGATGTACCCAAACTATCACTCACTTCCTATATATAAGCAACTGGTTATTTGCAGAAAATTTAATTCAATACCAGTAAATCATTCCTTGCGAAAGAAATACAGTCAACCCCCGTCTAACGGACTTGATTTGTGCAAGGGATGAGTCTGTTAGACAAAAAGTCCTTTACACAAATTCAATTACATAAAAAATCAAAAATTTCAATTTTCAACACTAATTTTAAACCAAAAGAAGTCTGTTCGGCGGATTTTGTCTGTTGGGCGGGAGGAAAAACTGCTTGCAGAGCTGGTCTGTTCGGCGAAAATCCCTTACACCCCCCCTTGTTAGGCGAAAATCCCCCGTCTGTTAGGCGGGGGGCCACTGTACTGCTATTTTTTCAAGGAACAATAATGTATTTATTTTGTGGGAATTACAATTGAAAAATAAAAACTGGGGCATGTGATAAGCCACCTCTAATCGAGGGTTTTATTGTTGCCATATTGGATGCACGTCATGGAGAAGAAACCCCAACGTGTAAATAACAAGGTTGGCATCATCAACAGCACCTTACTGTAGATCCTATACTGTAGAGTTACTAATCAGAATATCATCCTCAGTTATATTAGTCTTATCATGACTGATGAGAATTAATCCTCGTCACTCAAGTTATCATTTTTACAGGTGGACTCTTGCTCTCTACAAAGAAATTGAAGGGATCAGAAAAAAGTTTATTGTAGAGAGAAAATCATAGTAGAGAACATTTATAACATGGAAAAGAAACCCATAGGACCAAAACAATTGATTCTACAGAGGAAAAGATTGTTGTAGTGTAGAGGAATTCCCCCGGTGTGTTTATTTGGGTTTAACTGTCTAACATCAACAATAAGGTTCAAAACCCCCCCCCCCCCCCTCCGCCCCCCACCGACATGCACATTGAATTATATGTAAATAAACCTTTTAGATCACAGCAGTACATAGAAAGGGATGAATTCTTTGATGGGCATCTTGGGTTTTTTATGCACAGCAACCAGCAATTATTAAACAAAATGTGAAGCAATAGGTATTCAGCCTGTTCTTCCTCCCATAATACACACACATCAATTAAAAAATAATAATAATAAATATGCATCACATTGCATACAAATGGACGAATGCTTTGATTGGCACATTGCTTTTTTTTTTTAGAAAAATACACAATACCCAGCAGTGAGCAAAATTTAAAGCACGTGGTATTCAGCCTGTATATTCCCAGATGAATATCACTCGATTGAACAGTTTAGAAATAATCTTTCAGGAGAAATCGTTTAGGGCGCAATCAGTAAATGAAACCCATTCATCACTATATATCGATCAATCATGACCAGCAGGCACTGCTGCAGCCAGCCTGGTTTGCGCAGGCTGGGGCTCATTCGGGCCAACCCACGCCGTGTTGTCCAACTATCTCCAACGCATGGTGTTTCGTGTTCCGCAGTACGAACAGCAACTCATCGCTTGTCGCGACATACAAGGCTTCGACCTGGAAACCATGATGTGCATCTCTGGCAGTCCACTGCTTGGCAAGCACATGTGTCGGGTATATGGCACTGCTGAATTTCGAATTATTTACACGGGTGATACTGTATATGTAATACTCACATCTTTATTTTCCTTCGTGTCTTTAAAAAAAAATGAAACAAGGGTGACATGGGAAACCCCCTGGTTGCAGCATCGTCAGCAACAGGAAATGTTGAGCTGGTTGGGATCGCTTCATCTATACTCGGGTGTGGGAGGACTCCGACTGTTTTCGTGTCCGTGAATGCACTCGCTGACTGGATTCAAAGTGAGATTTCCAACAAGTTACCTGTGAAATGATGACAACAAAAAAAAAAACAACAGCAAGAAGCAAAATCGCATTCTTCTGAACCTGTACTTGATTTGAAGTACTGTACCTGCAGCAACCGAAATGACATTCAGAAGGAATGGAAAGAATCACGATCAGGTCATTCTCGTCACTATCCATCAGTACATAGTACAGTATAGGGTGAAATGAAGACTCTTTCGATGGTCGAAAGTCTCCGGAAGTAAGATTGGTTCATATTGCACTTACTTTTGTTCACTGTAACCCTGTGGATGTACATGATGGTTGATTATTCGTAAACATGTACAGTATAAGACAAGCTGAAATTTTCCGGGGATCATGTTTTATATACCAGACCATTATAAAATGGATTTTTATTTTTGTTTTTCAAACTTGAAATTATAGTCGAAATGACTGCAGCCGCCCGACCCCGGAAGAATAACCGCCGCGTTTCTTACGCTGTCAGTGAAAAAAAAAAGAAGCGACAGCCGGCAGTTTTTTTTTTTTAGATCAAATCGCATGTTCATTGTAGGGAATTTTTCAGCAGCAGGTTGATACCGATTCGTTACGTAGTTTGTGAGCATCAGTGATGGGGTATATGCGGTATGCATGCTTCGTTATTTTTCAAGCTCGATCACAGCAGCATCTTGTATGCATACGATCATTGCATGAAAATCGAGGTTTGATGACTGCTGCTATGAAAGCATCAGCTGCATATGGTAAGTACAGTACTACAGTATAGTATCTGGGTTCAGGCAACGAATCTGTAGCGACATCTACTTTCCTGCATGTGAAGTTTAAGTACCATGGTCCAGAGACCCCAAGCATGTACATAACTATGAAAACTTCGGCATGCTGCGTAATATTTAACATATGACATTGAATAGTGACTCGGCTACATTGCTCCTCAGTATCACAGATACTGCGGTACGTTGGATATATTTTTCCACTGTTTCCAGATACTGTACTGTGGTGTGCCTTCTGGGAATTTACGCAGTTTAATCATTTTGCCGGTCTGATCTATTTTTGCTCCTGGTAGTCCTGGATATGGCTTATGCCCATTACAGTATATACATATACCCTTCGATCGTTCGCTTCTTTTGGAACGTGTCCCCGATGATCGTTTAGAATGAATTTATTTACTATAGTCCTGCCTATTATTTGCTTCAAAGTTGATAATAATGTAATATAATGCAGACTCAATATGCTTATTGAGAACTGCTTCTCGCGATGAAGTTTGGGCGTTGAGCAACATAATCGTTCATTCCTTCATATATGACGCATCGACACGTATCTCATGAACAGAACACGCGCAAGAAAAGTCATATGAAGTTCCATTGTAATGCATGTACGATGGATTTCGTTCGATTTATTGATAATGTTCTACATTTTCCAAAATGGAAAATGTAAACATTCAAGCTTACGTTCGGTAATTTTTGGCTTGGATCTGCCAAAGTTCAACAATCAAGCAAATGAGCATGATGTACGCGTACAGCATTAGGATTTTTCATCATGTTCTCTCCACATATTATACACAGTACTGTTGTACTCATTGCTGTATGAATCGCGATTTTTAAATAAAAATAAAAACTACTCCACATTATCTTTTAAAGATGACATTCCTTTCGTTATACAGTAGTACTCCGGTTATACACGCTCCATGAAAATCAGCAGCATTATCCGTTTTGGCTATTTGTTTATTGGTTCAGAAAACGCCGGAGGGTTAAAATTTTACTGGTATCCAGGAGTACCAATAAGAGAGTTGAATAATGAATTATTGAATACCAATGAGTATTATATTGTACGTACCATGCAACATTGATTCACAGAACAGGCGCGGAGAAGCCCCACGAAAAGTAGTATCCAATTCTATTATTATTTTTTTTTAGATGAAATCGTTCTCACAATCTCGCCACTTCTATTACTTATACTGTTCACTGTAGCAGTGGATGATTTGCTACCCTTTAGCAGAAGCATTCACAAGATGTAATGCATTCATGGAATCATGGTGCACAATAAAGAACCGATTGAAACTTTCAATCTGAGATTTTCTCATGACATTCGTTGTTTGCTTCCTAATGCAGTCGAACAGTCAGTCAAATATCCTTCTGATTTGAAATGATTTTCTTTGCTTTCTCCTGTATTCTTACACTCACAATCAGATGCTGTATATATAGGTCAGGAGAGAAATACAGGTACACTCACTATACAACAATCCTGTCTATTAAAACGATTTTTTACACAGAGGTTCTCTGCAAAAAATTGTTTCCTGGTCCATCAAATTTCATTGTAGATTCTACCCGTACAGCATTTCAATCTTGGATTCGAAAGCAAATATCACATTGGATGCAAATGCTCACTTTATTCCAGCATGATACGCATTTTCACCTGAAAATTCTTTCTTCCTATGGACGGATTCGGTTTCGTTCACACAACTGACTTAAAAATCGCTACGCGGAGGCTTCTATACGAGGGAATGTGCTGTTTGATTTTCGTTGAATCTTGAACACGCCGTTATGGCACAGCATAGACTCAACATTTTCCCCACTGAGTATCAGAAAAAAAAAGAAACTTAGTTCCCGAGTGTCGTTACGCGTAAATGCCCTCGATCACGTGAATTTTTTGTCCAAAAAAATCCTGGTTACGTACGCGAAACCCTGAGGGCACCTTCAATTCTCTTCGCAAAAAAGAAGAGCGCTCTTGCAGCGAGATCCGTTTCGTTCGGTCGGTCGGTGCAACTAGCAAGGATGAATGTGCAACACGAATCAAGAGGTGTCTTTCTTTGTTCAGTCGAAATAAGAAGCTCGAAAAAAAAGCACAGGGTCGACGTTGTAGTTTCCTCTCCCTTTCCTCCGAAGCATTTCAGTGGTAAGTGTTGTCACATGAAGAAGTCGGCAAGGCAGGACTGGGCGAGTTCCGCAAGCGTCGGGCACCTTTCTGCATGCACGATCACAAGAAATTAGCAACGAACGAATGAACGAATGGGCCATACAATACAAGGCTTTGTTCATAAGTTTTGTCAGTCTTTCGATTTTCTGTTCAAGTCTTGGTAATCGGGCGGGAATAAACGATACTTCGTAGACAGAATGATACTTGATCTCTTTATAATAGTACCGATTCTTATGTTATTGTGAAGGATAAAAGACACGAGAATGATTACCAGCATCAATGGCAACGAAACGAGATTTACATGCAACGATGGCACGTTTCATGACTTCACAAGCGATTTTCTCGAGCTATTCATTACTTCAGAATATTGAACACTTCTTCAGTGTCATTATCTTAGATACGACAAAAATGAACGAATGAAAGACGTTCCGTTTTTGGCAATTTCTTCTGGCAAGTGATGTTAAAATTCGTCGAAGCCCTCCTGTAATGTAAATTGGTGTGCGAGCAAGTGACTAGACAATAGAAAATCCTGGGAAAATCAACAGGGGATCCTTCTTGATCATTTCAGGGTTTCGAAGATTGTCGATTCAGGACATCGAGTACCCGCAAAACTTTCATTTCTAGTCACTGAAAAAGCTTTTGAATCAAACCTTGCATTCATTCCGCGAATATTGTTCATCTCGGATCTACTTGAAGCTTTAAATCCGTTCAACTGATGGACGACGTGAAGCGCATATTTTTAAGTAAGCTAAGCAAGAAGTGGTTGGTAATTCAAATTGCATTACCATTAGAAGCCTCGACTGAAACTCAGTTTCACTCAATTCTACAGAGATGCCACATTTGACAACATAACCGCTGTTACCAAACTTATGCAGAAGTGAGAACATGTTGCATCTGAAGCTTCGTTGATTTAATCCAACAATCAATAGCAGAAAGGTTTGAATTTTACACGCGGAGGACATGACTGCGATCTGGGAAAATCATAGCGACACGAAAATATCAAATGAAAGAACCCAAGATCCTCACCAAAAGCAGGCAACAATCCGGGAGCGAGCATGAAACGCGACTCACCATTCCAAGATTTCAAGGCTCAACGAAGTCCCCTCTCACTTTAGAATTTCCAACCGCCAAATAGTGTCCAAGGCAGCGTGGAAGGAGCAGAAATATGACGTACAGATCACGAGAAGATTACGCAATCGGGTTAAAATTCAAAATTCCGTGCACGATTTGCAGAACAATTGACAATTTGAAATTTTTGTATTCCTATGAAGACCGAAATACAATACAGTACCATCTTCACGCTCGCATTACATCAACTAACTTCCATTCTCAACTGAATCGCTTAAGCCATCTTAGATTCTCTGTACTGTATAGACATCATCCTGGATTTACAGTGCGCTTTGACAATGAGAACCTCTTTAGATTTTACCTCACTACCCCATGTATAGACGCGTCGAACAAGGTACAGGTACACTATTTCTATCACTGAGGATCACTTTCAAGAATGATTCGTACGAACAATACTAACTGCAGAACATTGAAAAATGGGGAGCGAAGAGAGAACAGTAGTTTGTGGCATAGGACGGCATGATAATTTCGCTTTTGAAATAGGTGAACTTTATTTCTATCTCTTCATTAAATTCCTGATGATTCAGATGAACTTCTCCAAGTCAAATTTCAAGGGATCAGTAAAAATACTGTATTGGAGTAGGCAGTGAAGCAAGCATTTTTGTTGGTGGAAAAGAAGAAAGAAATGCACGAAATTGTAATTGGCGATGTTCTGGACCTTAGATGAATTGTAAGGATGTTGAACTTGGAGAAAAAGGCTTCATTTGTCCAATTAGTCTTTCAATTATTTTCAAAACACATCAAATTGCATTTTCCTTGCTTTTCTTGACGTAGGGAGGTTGGAATTATCGAGGTTCAACTGTATAATTTTCAAATGGAGACACTTCCCGGTTCGTTCACAAGACATTTAAACGCCACACGATGAAGCAAGTGACCCGCAAATCCATTCCAATCATCCGAGTATTAAAACCGTCACCACAGTTCCGTCTTCACTCCAAAACTGATAGAAGGATACTGATTTTTATAAAACGTTTGAAAATCTGAAATATTCATAAAACGTAGATTCATCTGTAAGCGTACATTTTTGCGATTCACGAAAAGCTTTCCCCAAACGGAGATGACTTCAGCATCCGCTGCAAATTGAATATAATTACCAACGATCGAGAAAAACAAGGCGTATTCTGGTGAGTCTTCCAACACAACCGCGGTTTTCCTTTATTCGAAGATCATTTTCAAGAGTTTCTTCGTATAACCGCGACAGGGAATCGTTTTTAAGCAGCTGCGCGGATTTAAGGTGCAGAACAGGCCAAAGGTGGACATTCACAGCACACCAGCAAACAAACGAAGCAAACGCCATACACGATCGTTCGCTAAAACACTGTCAATTTCGTACGGCCGCACTTCTAAGATACGAATCAATTTGTTAGCTCGTTTACTCGGCATGAATCACCGGCGATTTACGCATACAAAATTTTTCAGGTTATCTTTGCGGAAAAACGATTCTTCCTGGACGGTTTCTTTCTTGGTTCGAACTTGCCACCAACTCCGCAACATTCCCCACACAGGCAAAAGCAAACAAAAGTCAATTTTCCACAACCAGCGTTAGGTCGGATCAACGTGAACAAAAGCCCACAACCTTCAGGCGAGAATATTTTTAGGAACCTATGGTACTTGAAAAATAAATCCTTCTGTACAACACGCGCAACGATGAATCCTAAAAAACAAAACACGGAAAATACAATTAAGCTACCGAGCACCTTCGGCTGAACAAAAAGATCCTTCCGATCCGCCTCAATCAAAAAAGCCTCTGAACCCGGATCAAGATACAGTTAAGCCTCCTTCACGAGTCGTGTCAATTTACCACGTCTTTTCCATGCTTAGTTTGCACTTGAAAATCAGAACTACTGTAGATCACGATTTTCTTCAAGATACCACCTTCTTCGTCACGGATTATTGCAATATCAACATCATAAAAACTATCAAAGAATGCAATAAACAAAATGTAAAATGCCTTCGCCTATCAGCTGCTTCAACACGTGACGACGACCGATGAATCGCAAGGATTTCAGAGGGTAGATCTACACGACACACATTTGACACAGAGGATTACGTTGAAACCACGATATGAACTTCACTGACAATATTTTCCAACAATTTATCAATTACTTTTGGAAAATCAAATCAAACCCTCAAACAGCTCAATGACACTTACGCAGGACTTGGATCAGATTTCAAGCTTTTCGTTGAGCCTATGCGATAAGGAAATGCGGATTGTAGAGAAATACGCCTACTGATATCAATCTGCGTGGATTCAACGAAATCTGAAAATTCCCTAGGAAAAGCGGGACTTTCATGGATTTTTGAATTTTGTTCGTGACAATTTCCGAAGTTTTCTCGTATGATTTGAAGAAGTAACAAAAAAGGAGAATCGTTAAAATCATTTTGAATCAATGTTGCTTTCTTGAGTTCATGAATATCACGTGTAAGTCGGTTCCGAGGTTTACTCAAGCCAACTAAAACAGAAATGTACAACATGTCCCTCGATTCACTGTTCAAATAAATATGACAACTTTGTAAAGTGACAAATAATTGCGACAAAGGCGTGCTACGTGTTGAAACAGGGAACACAAAAACCACTTAAAATCGCAACAAATTTAAAAAAAAAAAACGTTAAAAATCGAAAGAATATCTAACGGTCCACAGCTAACAGCAGATGCTAACTACGAACAACAGTGTATAAAAAAATCGTCATTTTTTAAATGGAGATTCTTCATCAATCAAACCCAAACGAGGGCATGTCAAGAAAGGTGCGTTTCCAACAGGAATTGTCGCCGGTGCAGGAATACCACTTGCCTGTGGGTTTGTAGTGCAGGTGGTCTTCGATGAACTGACAAGGACACATGGCTGATACGAGGTGACGTGGAGGGATCGCCATCACATCCCGGGCTCGGTCTCCGTGGTCCGGACTTAGCTGCAAGTACTTGCGAACGAAGTGCTTCACCCATCTTTGCGAGTAGCGCACGAGCAACAGCTCCGCTCGTTCCTTTTTTCGTTTGATTTTTTAAACCCCAAACCACAGACATAATCAGAATCGATCACTTCCACTTTAGCATCAATTAAACAATGTCTATGTTTGCTGAAGCTGCCCACTCAGTTCAGCTTATCGTATATTACAGTACTGTAGATGGAACAGTTTCGGTTAGGTGAGTTACGTCTTGAGCACGATAATGGCAAATATGAAGACACGGCTCTCACGAGGATAAGTTTTCATCTAAGTGTTAGTTGGAAAAATCAGGTGCACGACTTACTCGAGGGCTCTTACTCCAGGGCACTTGAGTAAGTACGGGTAATAGCTGAGGTTGACTGTTCGGTTCACGGCAGGTAAATACCTTAAATCTACGATTAATTCGGTTTCATTTTGAAAAATAAATTACCGAATAGCAAAGGAAGATCATCGAATTAAACTATCAAAACTAGTGGGCAGCTTGAACAAATAAGTGACGAAAAGATATTGTCGTTAGATTTGAATTCTTCTTTCATTAAACGCAGTCAGTAAAAATAAAAAAAAAACTAGGCGATTCTCTTGATAAGAAATCCACGCACGTCTGGATGGAGTCGAAAGAACATTTACTGACGTCAGACAGTTGGAAAATTCCATACCAACGTTTTCATTTTACTTTGCTTCATGCTTCCGTCAGTACTAGAATTGGACTTCGTGAGGTTTGATTCACAACACCAAGTCTCAAATGGTGGCTGCCTTTTCAAAAATCCTAAACCTGAATACCCGAAGATGTGCGTTGACGGAATTCCACAGATCCAGGTACAAGAAAGCAGGCTTACAATATCTCAACATGTAGTATCAGGGTAACCGGTTAAGTTTTAAAACGAGGAAAATTATTCGCACCCAATTTTTCATCAACTGTAGTTTTTCACAGTTGAAGAAGTCAAAATCAGCGAAGAAATTTTCAAATAAAGAGAAAAAGGTGTAAAATTATTCGAAACACAGTACAGTACTTAGCATAATAATATGTCCCTCGAGTTCAAGATTCGACTAGAAGGCTACGGCAGTGATTTGAATTTCTTCCTAGATGCAAAAAACAGTCGATAATTAGAAAAATATCTTGCAAAACTTTCGTTTACGAACCAACACATGATTAGAACACAAATGTATCCACATGTTCTTTTCCACCTTCCTCGAATTTAAACATCAAACGCATCATTCAAGAATTTAGTTCGATGTTCCTGTCAACTCCTTATCCAGGATACGTGAATCCCTAAAAAAAGAGCATCCCCATTATTGTAAAAATAAAATAAATATGTGATCCAAGCATTTCTTGTCGTTTGCCACCAATGCGAAGGCTACTGCGCAAGCAAAAGCCACTTTTATCTGAATTCGAAGAGTATGATGGGTCATCCTTAGATCAATGCATAGATATCAGTGGAACGAGAAAAAATAGCGGCTTCAGGAAGCATAGCATTTTTCAACTAACAATATACACTGAAGTCCTAACGATTTCTCATGCGTAAAAATGATAGTCAGCAGTTAAGCCCCCGCAATAATAATTTCCCTTTGTCATCATAACAGCAGATTCAATGAGCATTTTCCCACAGATTTTTCGTTGATCCGGCGATAAGCCGTTGTTTCATCAATTCCAACTAATTAACTTTCTATTCGAAGAGAAAACGCAAAACAAATAGATCAAAAAGCGATTTTCTGACTTTCACCAACCGTCTGATTTATCCTTCACAGAGTCTGGTCAACAAGCCAAAAAACGTACATCCAACGACTTTCATCGAAATAAATGGAATAATTTTGCATTGGATACATTTTACACCTCTAGATCCAAAAATACTGACTCGAATCGATCAATAAAATAGACGCTTCAATCGGAAAATGCTCGAATGGCTCCACGCGAAGAGATTTAATGGAATGTCGTGATCGTTCGAGAACTAGGACTAGATCGAAGATAAGCAAATTATTCCCTCAATAATTCTTCCACGCTACAAATTACTCGACAAAAGCGCATTCCCAGCACCTAAAAGCAGAGGCATGAAAGCGAAGCCATAAAAACGGGCTCACGTTCCAACCGCAGTACTGCTACAAAAATAAACTCAAGAGTTCACGGGTTTCCGTCATGCACAAATAAAAAAAACAAGCCATTTGGTCAACCATCATGGACGGAAGGATACAGTAGAAAACAGAACACACAAACGCATGAAAACATGAGCAAAACAAGATCCGTGCGTCAGACGCCAACATTCAACTTCAAAGCTTGCCATATTTTTTCTAGCAGCACCCGACGTTGCAAAGACGCAGAAAAAACGAGTGTGATTCACGTCGAACGGTTGCTGAACCTCAAAAGAAAGCGGATAAAGATTCCTAGAATCAGTCGTAAGCTTGAGACAGCAAAAAAAAAAAAAAAAAATCGGGTAACGTCCGTGAAACCTATTTTGGCTTTGGATTTTGTCACGGCAAAATCTGAAATCGTCTCGCTCGAAACAAAAATCGATCTTCCGACGCTGAACAACCTTGAAACTCGATTTGGAATCTCGTCGAACTAAGCACACTTTAATATCTTTACATGACTGACGTTCCCACAGCTGCCATGTGCACCACTCGAAAACAGTTCCGTAAAAATGGGACAATGGGAAAAATTGTACGCAATGTGACGGAACTTCGGTCGGGAATCATGTCGTCTGAAGCAAAACATTGGCCGAACGTATCTATTTGATCCTTTTCGGATTGCGGCTTTGAAAAGGTAGTTTCATTTGAAATTAACGCCAAATTTTTGCGTCATGAAGAAGGCCGGATAACAAATATGTTAGTGTCAAATACAAGACAATAGAACGACTTCAGTCGACGTAATTGTTGCGTAAAATTTCTCTCGTCATGATTTTAAACTCATCTTCAGTCAAAACGGTGAGTGTTATCATAATTTCGATTAAATTATGCACAGATTCGATTTCCTATCGCTGTGACAGATTCAAAACTCGTTCTTCGATTATTTAGTCTCACCAACACATTCATAGGATGAATGCTAAAAACCTAGCATCGTATCGGGAATTGGGGAGGAAGCGAGTCTCCTCGAGATGATACACGCCACAAAACAAACCAAAAACGACATCAACAAATTAGCAACGATGGACGGGATTATTTGATGATTGCAGCGAGTCAGTCGAAAGCACCCTGGTTGGCGAAGTCGTTGCACCAATTGACACACTGGGTTTGCCGTTTGGCCGCCGGTTTGTACTTGAGGTGCTCCTCGACGTACTGACAAGGACAGTGCGCTGTGGGCAGGTGCCGCGGACGCTGCTGGGGTGTCACCAGGATGCCAGCGAATCCCGGGCCTGGGGTCGACGCGGGCACCGGCGGCATTGCCACGTTCAGCACAGTGGCGCCTTGCTCCAATCGTTCCGCCATGTCCGCGCACCAGTCCAACCGCTTCCGCAAAAAATCTTTCGCCCATCGCTGGGAATAGCGCAGGAACAAGCGCTCCGCGCGCTCCTAAACGAGCATCACGCGCACACCATGCTTACATCCAGTGGAACAAATATCACAAGAAACGCCTTCCAGCTCACACCACAGTTGCCCCAAATTTTCCGGTCAAAGCAACGGAAAAGTACCGGTTCGTAGACCGAGGTGCAATTTACAATTGAAATAACATGCCAATGGGCATCGAGTTTGAAGTTGAATGCGGCGTCGACATTTCACAGGAAAGAAATCAACTCGCATTCCAATCTAACATCCATCAATCGGACAAAGAACACATCTACAGGGAACAAACAGGCCAATATCAGGTAAGTCAAATCCTAGACATGAACGATAATTTCAAAACAAGATTTCGACTTATCAAAAATTCTCTATAAAAAGTGAAATTAAAATGCAAGAAAAAATGCTGTGAACTTTGTTCGAGGCGTTTCTTTTTTTTTTCAAGACACCGGATGTCCGAACCTAAGATATGTTTATAAAATTAAAGATCATCGTTGATTACTTTGAAGGTGGTCAACCGTTAAAAATATGTATTCGGCTGTTTCTATTCATTCCGCTCCATCTAAAAACTAAAACTGGCCAGAAAAATGTTCGTGAATACGAATGGAATCAAAATGACTGAATTTCCCAATCTCGAGCTTCTTTGCATTAAATAACGATCAGTTGTAACAACCATCACAGCCAAAAGAATTCAAAACTCTTTTTCAGCCGTCTTGGTAATATATTGAGATGAACGGGTTTTATGGAAATACGAACCACGTAAAAAAAAGATTAACTCTGCCTGAAATACTGTCATCCACAGCAAATTTCAACTACCACAGCAACGTTCAAACTTCATCGGCCAAAGCAGACTTCGTATCAATGTATATCCAGCTTCTTCTTGAAGAAATTCTTTCAATACCAAATTACTTTTTTGTCCTCGAAGTATGCTTGCGGTGAGTCACGTGCAGACGGAACTTTTTCCGTTCCAAAGCAATACTGTTCACTAAAACCATAACTACAAGAGTATCAAACCAAAGATTTGAGGCGAGGGTCCCATTAATCGCGAAATACAATGAAAACCTTATGACCCGTGGCATTCAGCTCGATTACAGCACGGAGAAAGCAGCAAAGTTAAAAAATTAAAGCACTACCCCGTTTACTGGGTGCATAAATAAGGTCAGCAACTTATGAATAACTTCTGGACTGTCTTATGTAACATGAACCGTAGAGCTCCCATTTGAACGCAAGCATTTTATCCAGAACCAAATCATAAAGACAAACTGAATACGCAAGCCCGTGTCAATTATCCTTTTGTGTAATCTACTTTTACACAGCAAGATACTGTATCATGTAAAATTTGTAAAAAAAAAAATATATAAGCGACGTTCAAACGAGAAGATCTCGAGAATCGAAAACGATTAAAGTATTCACAATGAGAAAACAAACCTGTTTCCGAGACACACGAGTTGGTGCTCCTGTCCCAGCACTGATGACGATGTCTTGATCTTCTATGTCCATCCTCCGACGAAAGAAGAGTCTCCTCCTCTGGCGCTCCACTGCTTCCGATTTTCCTTCATCACTGTTCACCACGTTGCCTCTTGCCTCTTCCTTGTCGATTACTTCTTTCAATTTTTTCTTCACATTAAAATAAAAAAGCGTCGATCAATATTTGATGAGATACAGTATTTGGAATGCATTCAAGTGGTACAGTGTACTCTAGATACAACTCATGAAGTTAATGCAGCACTCAAGTTTTTCGAGACCAATAGTTGCCTCTTCCTCTCTCACTACACGCAAGAATGAAGTAGGAATTGGCACAAAATCTTCACAGGTATAGCATAGGGCAACTTGAGATCAACGGAAAATTATTCGAGTGACAGTAGAATATCGAATGCAACTCCTCAAAGAAATTCTGAACCACATTTGGCTTCATCGCGGCAACATATAATAAAGAAAACAACTGGAAAAAAGCACCCCATTAGGGAGTGAATTACTTTCACGTATTCTGCGCATCTACTCAGCATTTTTCCCTCCACTTACACAAATACGATTCCACATGGCATGTTCTTACCAGGTTATTCAGAAAAAGAGTGCGATCTTCGATCAACTAAACACGCTGTTATGCATAACAAAAGGACGATTTCCCTTCCAGAAAAAATATTCACGAGCAAACTCACGATGCAGTCGGACGGATCGAAGTACAGAAAGCAGAGGTTGACTTTGTGGCAGGACAAACGTCCTCGATCATCTAATCCCAAGAGTATCTTATGCTTCAACAACAGCTTATTGACACTGGCTACACATCGCTCCAAGTTCCGATTCAACTGCAGAAGAGAAAACACAAAAATAGCTGAAGGGATGCAGTTTAGACTACATGTACTGTATTCACTTGAATATAATTATCCCCTAGATTTTTCATGCAAGAACTTGAAATGACATCCACAGGCGAATATAAGCACCGACTTACTTTTCCGTAGTTCTGACTTTCCGAGAATCTAAAATGTCTGACAAAATTTAGGTTCTCCTCAGAAAAGGAAAAACAGCGTCACACAACCATTGCTATTTGACCCATGCATCTTGAAATGGCAAAAGCGGACCATTTCTTGATTATGTTCAACTTAAATTCTAAAACAACGAAAAAAAAAGTTCTTCGTCATTTGTGGGCCGCAAACTGAATATTTCCAGAAAGATACGCATATGTTTACGCAAATTGCATAAATATACAAATACTGTACAGTCTAAGCACCCCCCCTCCCCATCCTAGATTTGAGCTTCTAAAAGGAGAAAAAAAAGGTGTTCACATCCGCGTAAATTCGGTAGTTGGAAGTTAAAACACTGACTAAGGTCATGGCTTTCTGAAACACGTAACGAGGAAACGCTACGTTTTAGATACCTTACATAGGCCCAAAATCGAACAGCGATCCCAACTCGCTCATGAAAATTGAACAAAAAAATCTTACCCGAACTTTAATCCACATACACATGAAAATGGCAGCAGCGTTGAGGACGAGCCATAGGATCCCGCAGCCGAAAAGCGCAAGGTGCTGGAGTTGTGAGAAGAGTATTATCAACAAGATGAGAAAGCCGACGGCGATCCACCCTGCGAGAAGTCGCTTGTAAAACACGTTGTACAACGTGAACCGGTAATCATTCGTCAACAGTTCCATGGCCTGTACATATTCTTCCACGGTCAGGGTTAAGCCGTCAGCCATGAGTTCCTCAGGTACCAATTCCGGACGAAATTCTGCGGGCGTCAGCCATGCCCACGACGTGTTCATTGGTAACAGGGTCACGATAACATCGCCATTTGCTAAAAAAAAAGAGAATGATTGAAACGCACACGATTATTCAAGAACAACATTAAATTGATGAAAACGTTGGGGTCGAGAGATAACGAAAATCACCCCCACTGGAAATAAGAAGCAGTATTGCTGAACTAAAAAATGCTTCGAACTAAATGGTGGAATTTTAATCTTCGAATCGTACCTCCGTATTGATCAGCCGCACCAGTCTCACGATATAATTTTCAATTTGATCAAATAATAATCTAACCTAGAACATCACCATTTCCGGCCTCATACTTGTTGATTTTCACCATTAGCGACATTATTTCTTCAAGAAGCTGCAGTCCCCGACGCTAAGCAGATATGCACTTCAGTAAACCACGTAAAAATCAATTAAATCATTACATAATCAATTCGATAACATCTTCTTCGCCTTCTCTGAACAAAGATCACAAAACGTGCGATGAAAAAATTGCAATCAAAAAGGCTGTGAGGAATATTGTGCTTAGAGAGCAAAATTAATACTGTAACTCCACGTGGAAATAATCAAATAAGGCATAATTATCATCACTTGCACTTCAACACGGAATGATTCTTTGTAAATTATCGCCCACTGGTTTTTCTTTCGTACAATACTGACGCCGAAAAAATTTAATAAAGGCGATCACTTTTTTTAAAGATTCCAATACTCCAATTCACCGACTTCAAAAATCCGATCAGTCATCACTCGGAAAACGACCATACAAACCCAGCAAGACTAAAACCCGTCATTCTTACAGCTTAAACGAAGGAATTGCTTTTGAAACTGACGCATTCAACGGTACAACCGTGGAATCTACTAATATGAAGGCATGGCTTATATGATGTGATACTATCGATCGACACTATGTTGATTGTGAAATGAAGTTAAATTCTAGACAAGGGGGAAACACAATCGAACGCCTTTATCTAACGCACTGAAATCAAAATTTACTACAGTATCAAGAGACCCTGAACGCGGGCGAGCTTTCGAACGCCCAATTTTTAGAAAACTTACCAAATCCTTGACGAATATTTGGTCTTGGGGCTTCAGGAACAGACCCAATGCCATTATTTCGCGCCTGCTGCAAGTCTTGCGCGGAAGCGATCACATCGTTGATCGTAACTGCAAGCTGTTCCGGGCGCTGCTGAATCACTGTACCAACGCTAGCACCATCTCGAACTGCTTCCTCGGGCACTTCCAACTGCACACTGTTCGCTTGCACGGAACCGGTGCTTGAATTGGACTCCTCAAATTTGACCCATGATTTCGACGGGTCCCCCGCGGGCTGACCCGGGATCTTCTCCGACATTCGAAACACAAGCAGAGGATCGCAAGCGAATTGAAAAATAAAATTAACTTCGGTACTGCAAGGAGAGAATTGTAAATTTTCAATGCACTTCATGAATACACAACCACAGACGAGTTCGAGACCAACTGAAAGCTTGCTCTTCATTTCTTCATAGACTGAGAAATTTGAAGCTTCACCGGTTTGGAATAAACACGCTTTACAAAAAGTATACTGCTCAAACGTGAGGCCTCGAACAATTTTCATTCACCCCTCGCACATAAATTATCAAAACTATCACTAACAAGCCGTGGACTACATCGGATATATTTTCATAGAATCATGAACCATTCGAATCAAACTTAGATTCATTCGATAAGTGACAGAGAGTCGCGGCAGTTACTGTTTCAAGAATTAGAAGTTTAAAAAATTAAGAGTTTCAGACTTGATTCACATTCTGGGCTTTCGTTGTCCTCGTAACTCGGCAAATTAAAATCGAGCCTAAGACGTCGGATAAATACGTCGAACATACAACTTTATAGAAAAGTAATTAGGACAATTCCTGGAGAAACATTGTTAGGTTATCTTTCGAAAAAAAAGAACGGAATACAGTAAAAAGTAATAACGAGGATTCACTGCCAAATGAAATCGAACATCATAAATAATATTTCGAGCGTAAAAGAAAGTACGAATTTGTTCCGCTTTAGCTAATTCGGAGGAATGAAGAGCAGAGCTTCCAAAATGTATCTAAATTGAAATGATGCAAATCCAAAAATTATTGAATGTATTCCTCAGCTCATGCGGGGGTAACGATGGACTATATATAAGTGTTCACCTCGTCGCATCAGAGCTCAAAGATGCTCCCCACCGCTTCGCTTTCGTGGTGGCCATGGGTACGATTTCCCAGTCATTCGAGTGCAGAAAAACGGAAAGCAAAATAACAAATCCGTTCCAATTTTTCTCTCCTTTGACAATCGGCTAGTACCGGTCAAATCACGCTATCATCCATTCGCGAACATTCACTGACGGAAATGAAAATTTCGCTAAGTTTGAGAAGGATTCACCCAATACACCGAAAATCAGGTCCTCAGGCGAAACGTTCTACGATTAAACGGCGCGTTTTCATCAAAACATTTTTTCTCCATTGAACTAGCATATATTCGAAAAGATTGCACGAAATTTTTCGCACTCTCCATGTTCACAGCAGTCTGATTTAAACAGAGTATCTAAAACATCTGGCATTGAAATTCAGTGCACGACATTCTTTAGCACAATGAATCAAACAAGTTTCGATGAAAACGCGTCGTGGACCCAACGGGTAACATAATGACATGAAAAGAATCCATGAGCTTTGTTTCACCAATTCCATGGCAGAAAACAAATCCAGCTTTTAAATTATGAACGAAAAGAAGCTAAAATGAAAAAAAAAAAAAACGCATCGGAAACGAAGAGCTAAAATTCCGGTTCGATGACTGTTCTGCCTCGCACAATAACCATAATCATTCAAATTGCAAGCTTCCTTGCATGACAAGCACGCGGAAAAAAAAATTTTTCCGTCCCTTCCAATCAAGTTTCCATTTCCAGAAATCCCAACAACTCTTCCAGAAACATTTCGGAGACGAAAATTTAAAATGCTCCTCGGAGATAAACACGTACTTTCTTCAACCCTTCGCGAACTGAAATTTGGTGATCCAGCAAAATGGAAAGTTACATCAACATTTAAAAAAACTGATTAGCCTTGATGAACGGAATTTTATTCAAGATGGACATTACGATCCCTATAAAAATGGTTCCAGGATCAGCATTCCAAATGAGTTTAGGTGATCGAGAAGCCCAAGCACAAGAAATCTAGTCTCCGTTCGCGTACTTTGAAACTGGAAAACAAACGCCAGGGATACAGAACAAATTGTCGCCCAGTTCTCTTGTTTCCCTTGTTCTCGACCAGGGACCACTCAAAATCTTCGCGATGCAGCAAAACGCAACGCGGTCAGGAATGAAACCGTGGGTCGCTTTTACCCCACGAAGCAAAAACAAAACAAAACAAAAACGATATTCGAAACTACACTCAACATGCAGCGGGATATTTTCCAAATTGCAGTCACTCAGCACGACGACCCCATCCCCTCCCATATACTTGTAATCCACGCTTCCAGAAAATGTATCACACCGACTTCGGAATCTCGCGAATGAGGTGAAGGGCGATATCCTGCAGGGACAGTAAGTGGGAAATCAAGACCGATTGGCTACCGACGCGCTCTCCTCAAAACAGATTCTCCAGATCAAAGATCACTGCCTCACTCGGATTCTCTTTCCCGTAATTCGGCTGCAACCAGCAAGAAAAATATCCAGAAAAAAAGAACCAACAAAAATCACAACTAAACGATCAAAAATAACAGCTATGCTCAAGTTTCTCTGCTTTTAAGAATGACGAGAAAACTAGGATACAGAATGACGCTCCAAGAATCAAGCCAGTCTCAACCGAGAATGCTGCGAAGGCGTCGTCACTGACCCGAAGGACAGTTCATTTGCAGCACGAAGCGCCAGAAGAAGGCTGGTTGTCTGCCTCCGTGATTCGCCGTCCTGTGGCGGATGAACCAGCATCGCCACCAGGCCCAGGCCCGCCGGACTTAGGTAGCTTTTTGGCGATGGCGAGAAAAATGTCGTTAACATTCATGGCAGTCTTCGCCGACGTTTCCATGAAGAGGAGTCCGTGCTCCTCAGCGTAAGTCTGTGCCTCGTCGTATTCCACCATCCGCTTGCTTGCAAGGTCAGATTTGTTACCGGCAAGAGCAATCACGATGGTGGGTGAGGCTTGTCTTTGTAGCTCCTTCACCCAGCCTTTGGCGCGACCGAATGTATCTTGATTCGAAATGTCGTACACGACAATAGCTGCCTGAGCTCCACGGTAGTACATCGGAGCCAAACTATGGTACCTCTCTGTAAAATCGATAAAGAATAAAGATATTGAGAATTGAAAAAAAAAAGCCAAGCTCAACCTTTACCTTGCCCAGCGGTGTCCCATATCTCGAATTTGACAGTTGTATCGTCTAGGCAGACAGTCTGTGTCATAAAAGCTGCTCCGATCGTACTTTCCTGATACTCGTGGAACTGCCCCTTCACAAACCGAAGAACAAGCGAAGATTTACCGACCGCTGATTCTCCGAGTAAGACAAGCTTAAATTGGCAGATTTTCCCCTGGGCGCTCCCGTTGGGCTTGGGTCCGGTATTTCCTCTGGCTGCCATTCTTCCTTCGAGCAAACTCTATCTTCGATATTAATATGATCGAAAGACGAAGCTTTACGATCAAGTTTGCACCCGTGACACGATCAAATGAGTTTATCACAGGAAAAAGCGGGGAAACTGCACAGTGGATTCGCACCTTCCTTCTTGCGTCTCTGTGGAGTATACGCTTCTGGCTGAAATACTAATGGTCAAATTTCACAAATTTACAAAGGTTATGACGAAAACAGAATTTATTCGATGAAAACTACTCAGAGAAATGCGACTAACGCGAAGTCACACAGGCACGTTCTTTGAAATATACTACAATAGCTGATGAAACGTCGCGTTTAGCAGAGTTCTGAGGATAACACTATGATACATTCGGCTAGCAGTGTTTCCTATCCAGGACTCGTCGAAAGGAGACCACGCTATACGCTGCTCATCCGAATGACACATATGCACACACTACGTAGGTAAACTCAATTTCGCAGAAACTCGCGTGCTTCGATGAGTAAGTAATTCAATCTAAGATTTTCATGGTCCGAATAAGATCTTCCGAAACCAGACAAACAACGAGTTCTTCCTCAATCCCAGTTACACAATCACAGGCAAGTAAGTAACTACTTCGAAGTCATTCCTACGAAGAAAAACTCCCCCCAAACGAATCGCGGATATGCAATACATATAGGGTTTCCATTTCTGAGGAATGGGAACATATTCGCAAGCATGTACGACCACGGCGGCATAATTGACTCTAACATTCAAGCACTATTATTAAATATGAACAGGTGTCGCTCGAAACACCGCTCACTACCGCACCTCCGTGACTAAAAATTGCTGCTACATCAGTACTGTAGTGTTTTCTAAGGGGTACTGTAAACTTATTCGTGGAATTTCAAAGACCATACAGTGCTTCTCAATCAATTATTAGGAAATATAAAGGGAATAGTGAGATATCGTAATTCCAATTGCTGCGATGTATATATGATGCGTATGCAACAGCAGTGAAGTACTGAATATGCTACTATACAGTACTGTACTTCAATAAAAATACTGTACAGCGTAATGCTTCACCTACACTACAATTCTGGATCTAGAAGAGAATACTGCACGATAGCTTTATTGAGACAAATGTTGGATGCCTGACCTGATGTGAGCTCCGGCGAGAAGTCCGTCCACCGACCTGTCATTGCAGTATACTAGCTGTTGGTCGAATTTTGAAAGTCCCTGGAGCAGTGCATGGATTTTTATCAAATGTTTACCATGGGTAAATTCTCTCCATCAGTGTTCCCAACCCATAAGATCCGCGGACCAGCGCCAGTCTGCAGAACTTTGGTGGTATAGTCTGTGAGAAAACTTACTCTGCATAATAAATCAATTAAAATCATCAATTAAGTCTGTAATTGCAATCCAACATTTTGGAAAGAATAGTTTTCAACTTGATTTTTACAATGGCAGTTTTGTTTGGAGGGCTTTATAGAAATTTCTGCTTGTCAAAAATGTTATGGAAAGTTGCCATCAGTTCACGGAAATATTCATGAAAATATGCCATTCCACAAACAATTTTATTAAAATTTGCCAGTTCTCAAGCCTAAGAAGATTGGGGAAAATTCCTCTACATCAGTGTTCCGCAACCTTTTTGGGCTGCAGACTGGCAAATTTCCAGAAACAAATGTCCAGACCAGTAAACTCCCAAAACCTTTTTTTGGGGACTGGCAAAGTTTCATAAATTTTTTGCCGACTTGTGCTAAGTTTTGCTTTGAATTTCATTAGGCAGGTAGTTGAAGAAAAATTCGGTTGGGAATGTTATCAAATAATTAGAAAGGTGTGCTTGGAGAAAAGTTTCTCAGAATGAACAATTAAAATTATGTATACATTTTCTGCAGGTGAAAATTTGTCTGAAGTATTATTAGGAGAAAAGTCAACTTTTGTTTTCATCAGATAATCCAACTGCTGTTGTCCTTACAAAATTTTAGGTAAAGAGAACCGATTTAATCCCAACTTTTGAAACATTTATTATGCTGAAAATTTCCTGCAGATGGGAAAAAAGAAATATTACAAAACTTATGCAGACTGGCGCCAGTCCACAGACCATGGGCTGGGGAACACTGCTCTACATCAAACACTTCGCCTACAAGAATATCCTCTATACAATAATACATTTTTCTGGTCCCAAATAGGGTTCTCTACCAGCCATGTTTCAGGGGTTATCTAGCCTGCTAGTCATACAACAATTTGTTTTTCTGATCCATTGAGTTTCATACTAGAGACTTTCATAGAGAGTCCACCTGCATATAAACTTCCCAGTTGTGCAATATGTTGCGGCATGATCAAGTGTAATATTACAAGTATGTTCATGATCACCAATTCTCATTTTGTGCATTACAGAGCACTAAAAGCTGATCCCTAAAAATGTCTAACAAACCAATGAAATTGAAGACACTAAAATAGCATAGCACGCAAGACATTCAAGAAAAAAAAATTTCGACATGTAAACATGCTAGGGTTCTTATGGCCTTCACAGGGGATGAAGGTAGGATCATGCAGATAGTCCTCATCAGCAGCTCTGCCAATAACGTATACCGTAATAATCCATCGTTACTATATTTGTACATGATACAGTATTCAAAAATGTGTATGCAATTCGCAGGGATCATTTATAAAGTACAGTATAGGGTGAAGGAAGGATACAGTACTTGTGCTGTATACTGAACCTCTACTATTGGAAGCATGCGGCGGGAGATATCCCGCGTCGAATGAACGTCGTTGTAAAAATGTGAACAGTGATACATCCATAGAATAATTAAGAAAACTCGGAAAATGAAGAAAAACACGGGTTCAAATAGCCAAATTTTAATTTGCGCGCCTTCGATTTACGCGGATCGCATTAATAAACGGCTCAGTTCGCACTTCAGGTTCCAATCCGTAGAAACGGACGCTTGATTTGGCTTCTAACTCACGGAGAGACATATACAAATGAAAGGAATCTTCTTTTCACATCTTCCACACAAAATCTTTCCCCGTTACACATCAAAGAAAAAAAAAACGACACTTGCCTCCACGTGAATTCACTTGAGATTTCGTTGACGCCCCACTTTTCTCCCCCTTCAATCAAAACCTTTTTTTTCTTTTCATTTTACTGCCACACTGTCAACTCGATCCCACTTGGCTACCTAGCATCCCTGAGACAACGTGATATCAGGAGTTCATTTTGAATCAGAGAAAGTCGACCTAGAAGAAACGGCTCTATCTTCAACAGAAAAAGAAAATACCGTACAAGCTTCTTCACCCAAAAAGAATCCACTTGCGTTCGACTCGACACTAATGAGGCAAAAAATCATGTAGAAATATTTTCAAAATCTTGAGGACAACGGATAATTCCTATTCCAAATACACCACATCATTTTTCTCTGAAATTTACTCTTTCCTGGGAAAAGTTGGCCAATGGGGACCGAGTCAACCAGTGAACTTTTTTTTTTTTCGTCTCCTTCGGAGTCACATCAACAACCGCGAGCACGCCCGGGAAAATAAAAAGGATATGCCACACGACTCAGAGTCAGAAAAAGTCCGACAACTCAAAAGCCGCCTGAGATCGCTTGCAACTCAAATCAAACAACGCGGAAACAATCTCCCGCTTCACTTCGTGAGTTGAACTGTATCAGTTGAAAAGATAAAGCATCTTAGCTTCTTATGGCATCCACGAACTTCCATGGTCTACTCCCTTCCTGGATTACGCTTTCAGCTCTGACAATTTTTCAGGACTTATCCACCCTTCGTAAACCCTCTTCGGGTACCAGGAGAGACATGATAAGAGGCTATGAGAGAAAAGAATTTGAATTTTCAACTGTCTCAGCTGAACTCACTCAATGACGGCCTCCAAGCATTCAGATCTAAGGAAGAGACAACTGCAGGGCAGAATAAATCTCCAATAAAAAACTCTAAGACTTAATTAATTCTCAACCCGTTCGACAGCAAATCCAATGATATTCTTCTGTTTTTTGATCTGCAAGTGTTGCTTCGCAACCACATCCCCGCCCTTCATTTATTTATTTTTTCTTCCTACGGTAGAGGAATTACGACTGAAAGCATTTTCTTTGAAGGTACTTGGAGAAGAACTTATGAACAGGGCACCACACGAATACCGCTTTCAAGTCGATCGACTAAACTTTGGCTTCTCCGCCTTCAATCGCGGTTTCCTTAAGAAAAAATCGACTTGCAACGAAGAAAATCCTTTGGATCTTATGATTTTTCCCGCGGCATCAGGAGAATTGATTCAATTTATTCCACCCTGCAGATCGGAAACGCTGGCGTGGGTCATTCCAGACTTCGTCTACTCATCAATTCATCATTACTTTAAAATGAACCAAACTTTTGCGTAGTTTCCGATGAAAGTTTTTAAAAAATTGGAAAAATCGAAAGAGTTTCCCACAGGTACGAGAGCGGTTTCGAAGAATTCCTTGAAAAGCCTCTCTCTGATTCACGCTCCGTGCTGCAAAACGATGAAGTGAATTTCCTGGATCAATGTCGTCTCGAGTTGAACAAAAAACATGAACACATAGACTGTTTTGATTCATCATGCCCAGGGGAGTTTTATAACGCAGTTTTTTTCTTTCCTTTTATTCCAATTATACGGTGAAATTATAACCAACGGCACTTACACTACTTGAAATTCTGCGCGAGCCCTTATCTCCGAACTCGACGGATTAAATTATTTCCATGTAATTTATTCATGCATTACAAAATCACGAGGCTTTCTGCATGTACTGTATTATATTTCAAGGAGAGAAAAATGAGCCTTCTTCGAAGCATCACCAGATCATCTTCACACATACGACATTGGACACAATGTTACAGGTTATTGATAACCTTAATTTTGTTCATAGGGCAGACGCATTTGACAGCAAGAAATACGGTAGTTGTCCTACAACTAACTGATTCGAAAAATGGCAGCGCAGAGCGTGAATCCTAGAGTAAACTTTGTCGTGACTTTACAATATCCTTCCATTTTGCCAGCAAAGTAAAAACCCAGAACACTTTTATTGTTTGGAGTGACCCACGAATAATGGCAGTCTAGCCTCAGCGGATTTTCGCAGGGATTACAATTTACTTTCTACTTCACACTCCCACTCATTTGACCATTTTGATCTGCTTGCCGCAATTTTGCAATTCCCTGCGATCAACCGAAAAAATAGCAATCATAACCCTTCATCAGAAAAACACAGACAAAAAAACCAGAATAGTACTACAACTGCCTCATTGACTGACGACCGGGGACTTCTTATCCGGAACATCCGGGTTCTGGCCCTGCGGTGGCTGCTGCTGTTGCTGCTGCGGTGGGCCACCGGTTGGAGTCATGCCGCCGGGACCCGGACCAGGACCACCGCCTCCGCCACCTGGTGGCGGTCCGACGCTGCCCGGGGCGCCTTGCTGCTGCCAGGGACTCGGTGCGGAAGTGAGCATGCCGCCGTCAAAGTGGCCCGGGTCTTCAAGTCCGTTCGCGGCCTCGAATTGCGCGTTCTCCAGTCGGGTGATGAGACGTTCGTCTTCGTCGCCGAACTCACCGCCCATCAACGAAGGCTCTCCGACCACCATCACGTCCTGCGCATCAATCAATCAAAAGGACTCTTTCAGTAAATGTAACACGCAAAAAAATGGCAAGATTTTTTTTACGGCGATCGTCCAGACATCCGCGTTGAAAAACGTTATCCAATAGCAGGGGAAGAAATTTATATCGTACGCACTTTAATACTATACACATTTTCTGTGAGAATCGGCTCTAAAATTTACAGTATGCGCGTTATCTTTCACAGCATCTTGGTTTCGTACGTCAAGTTCAAGGGTTCCTTGTGATCAATACAAGCTTCAGTTCAGTCTAACATTCAATAACGCAAAATTTTCTATCATTCCACGTTAGCCGAAAACACAGTTGAAGTCCGGATTCTTACTGGAAAAGATTAAGAGGATATACAGCTAGTGTTTGAGGCTTGAGTGGATTCGATGAACTCCCTGATTCTGAACAAATTTAACGTAATGGAAGTACAATAGCGTATGTCTTAAATTCTCAGGCGATTTTGATTAAAGTTTCGAGGCAAAAACTTGAGATGCCTGTTACTGAAGATAACTGGACATCGAAATGTTGATGAACGCGTCTCTCTACGATGTACAGTATTCATGGAGAACGTTTCGCAAAGCGAACATAACTAAGCGAGTTTCTATATCTGAGAAACAAAATTTTTCAGCCGAATCGGCAAGAAGAAGATGAACTCAAAAGAAGCACTGACATGCATCAACTAAGAGAAAGGAGATAGCTTTGAACAGAAGATTCTAAATTTAGACGCCTGTCTTTTGCAAAATCCGAATACCGCCATTATATTCGAGACGAAAAATGAGCGATAAATCTATTTTAGTAACCTGCTCCGGCGTCAGCAAGATTTTTTTTTCATTAAACGAATTTAAAAATTGATACCGATTCTTTCATGACTTCCTAAGATGACGTTCAGAAACCAGAAAAAAATCGTGAAATGAGGAAAAATTGTATCAAGTGATCGGCTTTCAAAAAAATCTTCTCGATCATATAACATTGGTACCTCACTTAACGAATTTCGAAGTCGGCACACAACTGCCAGGTCATTTGAAAAGAAATTCATTTCGCTAAAGAAGACTGAAAAGATTTCTGTTCTTCTTATGTTTCCGGCAGCGTTCTCGAATATTGTACTGCGTGTTGCTTATAAAATATTTCAAGGAACGCATTCGTTAAAATTTGCGTACTTTTCTTGATAGGGCCACCTAAGATAGGAAACAAGAGAGAAAGACTTTCATTATCCTTGGTAAAAACTCAAAAGAATTTATTTATGGAGCATTAAAACTATAGCGAAGATTCATCGTTCTATTCCGAGTATTTTGCAATCGATTTCAACGCGCATAGAAATTTTTTCTAAATACTGTAATTCACGTGGCTTGCGAGTGTAAGATGTACTTTTTCAACGTTCGTATTCTTTTTAATCTGTGTCCACGAAATCTTCAAAAATAGATTAGACAGATGAATTTCGCAGCCTGGACCAAAGCCTTGACTAAGGCAACTTAGCCATTACACGCCCAACAGATTTTCCAAACGCAGAATCGTAAGGTAGAATGTGGGTCCGGATTCATAAAAAACATCAATAATCAAAGCAAAAATTTCAGCATAGCAATAAAAATGCCATCTAAATAAAACTCACATTTGAGAAATCTTCGAAACAAGAATTGACTCAAAAATGACGGTAACACAAATAGTAATGCTCATCTAAGTTTAAAGGAATAAAATGAAAAACAACTTCACTCAAGGGATTCGGATAACGGAAATTGATGAGAGTAAAGGAAGACGGAAGGATCGTGAAAATGGCGCCGCATAAAATAAGACTCTTCTTTAACCTGCGAGGCAAGAGAAAAATTCTGGGATCCCGGCGACTTTTTCTTGTTGCCGCCGCCGCCGCCGCCACCACCAGGTCCGCCGGATGCCGAAGCTGCGCTGTTGGACGCCGAGCCCTTTCTTTTGCGTCGTTTACTCGCTGGTCGTTGAGATTCTGCAAGAAGAGAACGATCGCATTAAATTCCATCCTGCATAACTGACTCATAACTTTTCTCTTTTTCACAATAAATGTATTGTAATCTTGCACAGTACTTCATATTTCCGTTCCTTTTCAATCCGGGAAGCTAGAATCATGGGCATAATTTCCAGATAAAAAAATATACCGAGAGTATTTAAATAAGTTTCTCACAGAAAACAAAAGAAGGGCCACGAAGCACTTGAAAACTGATGGCAATGCTCATTGGGACCATCACCGAAGACCTTCTCCGTGACATCCAATGAAAAAATTGGTCAAACCTTTTCCCAATTTCAAAACACTCTTCCACAATGATTGAGCAAAAGTTATCTTGCTTCTTTCATGATGCATTCATCTTAGATGCCCATTTTTTTTGTAAAAACTCAATAAGTTCATGTTCAAACTTGAATCGCTCAACACAATAATCAAACCTATCTTCTGGACAGTTCAGCTCAATTTAAAGAAACTATAACTTTACATGCGTCAGTGTTCTCGGGAATTGAATAACATGAAATTACGAAAATACAAGCGCTAGTGTAGCACACTGACTCAAATTGATCAAGCAAAAATAGGGAGACTCAAATATTTTGCAATCTGCTTCCGTCCAACATTTTCCACATAGCATTTTTTCCATCAACGAACGGAATTTTTCATTCAGAAAGGAAAAAAACTTGCGAATAGCAAATACAGTATTTTCAACGACGGATTTCCGGTCTTATAAATAACATAACAAAAGATTTTTCTCAACATTTCGACGGCTTGTACTATCTACTGTATATGTTGAGAAAAAAATCACAGGACGGGAGTCTGACTATTTCCTCTATCTTCGCGAAAGCATTCCGTATGCTGATGGATTAATACGAAGTGTTTAACTTCCTAGTTGAAGATTAAAGATGAACTTTTACGGAAACGGTTAGTTTTGGAAAACTCAAGTCTTTTTTCAGCATCAAAAATTCAAATGGACTCAACCAGAAAGATGTATCACCGAAAACTGTCAATGGGATGATGCCTTTCAACAAGAAAACTCGAGAGGAAAAATAGAACATAATTTTGAAAAAGAAAAAAGATTTCTTCGGATCAATAGGAGGAAAATTTGAAAATTTTAAACAGAATCCTCCACGATTTTTTTTCCATGTCCTGCTATATTTTGCGATCAAAACCTCGCAGTTTCTAAATTGACTTAGCTTCATGACGCATTTCTGACCTACCTATGCTTACTACACGTCCAAATTTGAATTTAAAAAAAAAAAAACTGTACCATTCACTGACTCACAAAATGAGAAAGCTTCGCCATAGGTTTTAGAACTGTATCTTGAATCACGCGCGCGCAAACACGCACAAACTTAACTTGTTTGAAAACCTCATTTCTGTATTTGGTGAGTGTTTCGTAGAATAACTTTTATTTCTCATTTTCTTGAAACATTCGCGCAGTAATTGAGAATATAATCAGCGGGACAGTGTTGAAAGAACCTCTGAAAAACAGTATAAGTAGTGCTGAACCTATCACAAAATTATTTTCTCAATAATTCCATTTCAAGTCCATCCTGTGTAGCTGAAGCGACACTCCACCCCCGTAGAAAACCGGTGGGCTTTTTTCATTTTAGTTCATGAATACGAACTTTCAACAAATGTGGAGTACAGGAAGTTATTGCGTATTCTTGTAATGTTTTCGGACATTGACTGCATCATGTAATCCTCTACGCCTCTATGGTCTACGCGACAATGTCGAGAAATAAAATTTAAAAAAAACACACACATAGCACTAAAACTTATGAACTTTCAAGGGCGAATTTCATTACTGCATTTTCCCGCGAGAGGCCCTTCGCCGAATTTTTCAACTACAGTAAATAAAGGAAAACAAAAACGAAAGGGAAATTGATAAAAATTTCGCTCAAATGAAATTAGGACTCGGACGTAAAATGGTGAACTCCGAAATGAAACGAAAATCAAGTACTGCTGAGTCCAGTAATCAATTATTTCTTCTGAAAATCGCAAAAAAATAGCAGAGCATGAACTACTCAAATGGGAAGCTAATTCATGAGGACTGCCTAAACCCACGATGCATCTAACGATCACCCGACTGCGTTTCCAACACTGATGTTTTCCCTGACGATGAAAACTCAGGAAATAATTATGTGTAGTACGCTATCAGAGATTGGAACAGATTTTTCTTTCTTTCCACACCAAAATCCGACCTAGCTTCTTAAAATATTGGGCAGGTGTCGCCGTGATCAATGACCTCAGCAAAATTAAAAATCGCACCACGTGAACTAACCTAACTCTCCTCAAATTGTGCAATCTGATTTGACCAAATGTGAACCACCACGTCGTTACTCACTTGGTCCACCCGAAACTGACCAAACCTCAAAATAAATGTAGCCCAAGCATCGAAACCTGATAGAAAGCTTCCAATCAAGTTGAAAGGCAACCCAACTCTTAAAACCAACGAAAAGCAAACTCAACTAAACCATATACTGTACGCAAACTACATTACAATACAGTCGAGCTTCAAAAACCATACGTCAAACATTTTTGTGCTGGTTTAACGGGGTTAGCGGTTTAAAACGGTTGGTGGTCCATAGAAAAAAAAATCTAAAATACTGCAATATGATAAAGAAGCACGCATAATTCGAAATATAAAATTCGTCGTCTTCTAGAAAGCAATCAAAATAACCTCGGGATCTGTCAATTTCATCGAGCTAATGTCACCAAGAAATATTGACAACTGAAATATGCTCCTGTCAATTGGCGTTTCAAAAGTGCCTCCAATCCCATTATAATTGGGGAATTATTATTACTTTTTTTCAAAATAAATTGGCGGTTGCCGAGGGTGGCGGCTTATGACATCTTAACGTGATTCAACTGTACTGAATCATCTTGACGTTATTCAACTGTTTTGCACTACTGTACTATAATCAGCAAGTTTATGCTTTCAATTTTAAACCCAATCGAACTGAATTATAATCTCATGATACTAAAGTATAACCCAACATCCAGCTCCAACCAAAACTCCCCAATCTAACTTGAGCCCATGAAAATGACGAAAAACCTCAAGCGAAACCTACGTAAAGGCAATCACAGAGGCGTCAAGAGTTGATCGAACTTTCTGCAAGAACTTCCGAAGAGAAAAATAAAATACGCACACGAAAAAACGAGGAATCTTGCCCATGGAAAGGAGAAGAAAGAGGTACACCGAGAGGGGGAGAGAGAAAAGAGAGCAATGAACGCGCGTGGGAAGGCTACGAAGGGAGGAGAATCGCGGTCGAGAGAAACGAAAAAAAAAAAAATGAATACAAAATGCAGTCGCCAAGTACCAAAACGGTTCCGTTCCACACCAGTGTCTGCATGTTCGAGTACACCAAAGAAATAAATAAATACTGTATGATAAAGTAACCGAAGCCAACCAAATTCCGTCGCTGGCAATACAAATATTTAAAAACTGCATTTAAATCTGCACATTTACCCGGTAGGGAACTGAAATGCATCAGAAATATCGTATTTATGAAGAGAACTGTGTTGTGTATTCGACTACTGGAACTCAGGCCAAGAACAACTCAATGCTGGAGGAACTCAATGCTTTCAGGAACAGAAACAACGGTTTGTGAACTAAAACATTTCGCGTCCAGTTTTTTTTTTTTTTTAAATCATGCACGGAAGATAGATTTTCTCGCGGTTTCAAGCAGAATCATGAACAGAAGCTCGAACTCATCACGAAGTTTCACGCCGCCTCTGCTCTATACTCAACACAAACTCAAACCTACATCTCCACAAAACACTTTTGCTCATTCATCATTGATTAATTCGACAACCGATCCCAATCTACCACAGTTGATTATCGCAAAAAATACATCTTCATATAAACTAATTTGTAATCAACACATTCTAAGAACATAACCAGGAAGAAGTGACATGTGCTTTTTTCACTTCAACGCCCAGCATTGCTCACTGGAAACTCAAGTAGATGTCGCCTGAATCACAAATCCGTCCTAAAAGTAAAAAAGCAAACCAAACCGAACATCTGCAATATTTTCGCTCCTCAACCCTGCACGCAACCCAATAAAACTGAAGACCTTAAAAAAAAACAAGCAAGGGAGGATTCAGGCAAAGCTTTTGTTAGCAGCAAAGGAAAAATCAGTCACCTATGCTGGGCGTTGCAGTGAAGAGCATCAGAAAAAAAAAGCCCTACCAAAACAAGACAACCTCACCATGCATAACAGACATCACTTGAGCATGAGCACTTCCAACAGATGAATACTTTTGCTCCACAACTTCATCCGTTTTTTTCTTGACTGGGCATCTGGATAAGCTTGGAGACATAAGCCACTTACCAGGGGGCGCCACCATCCGCTGCCATTTTTGGAAGAGTGTGGTTTTCAGACAGTCCCTCGGTGACAACGAGTACGCTTTGTGTCGCGACATCAGCTCCTGCATCGGCTCCAAAATCACGCACAACCTGCGGGTTTCATGAAAAAAAAAAAACAGACAGAATAAAATATCAAGCAACTTGAAACCAACATCGAATCAGGGATTCATCTCATTTCTCAAGGTGAACCACAACTATTCTTTTTTTCTTTTTCGAAAGGCCATTTCGCAATCTGACAGTTGTTGTAATTTGAAGCAAGAAGCATTTTACGCAGGAGGCTTTGTAACACACACAATGAAAGACACATTTGAAAACTCTCTCAGAAAGTGAACAACAGTACTGTACATCAATTTCCAAATATTACAAATTTTGCTTCATAAAATAATTCCACGACAAATTTTGATTGCTTCACTGATGAATATTCAGTGTTGACAATCACTGTCCCCTTTTAACGCAAAGGAAAATTTTCAAACCGAAACTTTAAAAATGCAATTGATCCACGTGTTAGCAATAGCCGTAATCTAGGGCAAACTATACACAACTTTTTCCAGCGACATTCGAGAATCTATTTTTATAAATGAACAAGTTTTCATGAGTGAAATTTGACGTAGCATTTCGATCGATATGTTTGAGCCAAAGCCAGAGGGGAAAAGCATTGTTCAAGACTGACGCATAAGAACAACGAAATTCATTAAAATTTCCGTGTTCAATAGTTCCCCACGAGATAAATTTAAATACATTCGTCGCAAAAAAATGCGTACAAAGTATTGTACGAGGAAGTGCAAGAAAAATAAAATAATTTTACAATTGTCTCGAGAGTGACGAGGAACTCGCAGATTCATTGCATCCGGGAGGTCAACATCAGTCATGATCATTAGGATAAAAAGCTGTCAAATTATTTTGTTGATGAAACGATATCCATATACTGTACATCGAATTGTCAATGTTAACGATAAAGAGACGACATCTTATTATAGGCTGGATAAAATGCAGTTCGCGAGCGGATGTACGGATACATCGCTAAAAAGAATCAGAAGAGTTTATTTTTACAATAATAAGAATAAAAAAGGAAAAATAATTTGCATTGCCAAATCGCGTAGATTCGAGATCAAGGAAGACGACACGAATCATCATGAAGCATAACCAAAAATCAACTTCTATAGATTTTGAGATGATTTTTCCATGCTCACATTTCTCTTTTCACTAGATGAAATCAAGTCAATCACAGAGGTCCCCACTCCCCACACCACAGCTCATCAGCACTTTTATCCCAAAATTATTTACGACATCTAAGGCCGCACCATAATTGTTGGTCAGCCACTTCAGGAAGAAAGTCATAAAGAGAGAAAATAAGACCCTGAGGTTCGAAATAAAGGTTTACACAAACATTGACGGGTGAAATTTTCATCAACAGGTTCTCAACGGCACCATGCTGGCATTTGCATTTCAAGCTTCAGAAATTTAAAATAAAGTATCTTTCGAAACAGTCATTAAAATTAAAAATTTCAAATCAGGGGATTGCGTTCGATTCCAGCGAACTTGGTTGATTGTCCCATACTCTTCCAATAAAGATGCACAGCGCATTTGAAACAGCCAACTTGAACGAATCTTGACGCATATACGGTACTGTATTTTCAAAATGAAGAAGTTACCACAAGCATAACATCGTTAAAATTGATGAACGCGGGTGCGGTAAATCGGTGATGTAGCCGATAATTAGCAAGGATAATCTGAGTTCTACTTCATTTAAAAATTCTGCAAGCGGTCTTCAACAAGGAATTTGCAGCAACTGAAGATATATTTTTGGACAAGGCGCAAGCAAAATTCATCATTATGTACTGTAAAGTATGTCAATACAGGTAGACTATTTTCCATATACGGTATAATGAATATTTTTCGCCCCATACGAGGGTTCTAACAAAAGTTCTCGGAGTAGCAATGAAAATGGCTTACAGTTGAGCTGAAAAAAATTTTTTCTTCATGGAAAATATGTTCTTCGGCACACACAAAAAAATGACCTGGAGGCAGCCCTTAGAAAGAATGTCAAGTTGATTTCAAAAATGCTGAGAGGAAAGCTGGGATACAACAAAAAAAGGGCGCCTCATCTTTTGAGTGGAGAGCGAAACTCTGCCAGGGTGAAAAATGAAAAAAATTCAAAGAAATTTGTCGAACAGGGCTGATATTTTTTGTGTGCCAAAAAATATGTTTTCCCTGAAGAAAACATTTTTTTCAGCTCAACTGTAGGCCACTTTCATTGCTACTCCAAGAACTTTTGCTAGAACCCTCTATGATTCTCTACCCATGTTATAGAAGTTCTCCATAATGAGAAATTTTTATGGCCCATTGAATTTCGTAGTAGGAAGAGTCCACCTGTTGTGTATACTGTAATATCTTACAACGGGAGAACCAATATAGCTTTCATTCACGCATCACTCTTCTAAAATGTGTATGTTCATTGTACTGGATAAGCAAAGCCACTGTAATTTCAATTGGGTATTCAAGATGCGTACGGTAAGGCATCAATGAATGATGAGATTGTTCAAATGCGGTATTTCACAACAGTTATTCAGACACAAATAAATACAGATATATAAAAACAACGTCCACGCCTCATTCAATGAAAACACGCAAGCAATGAAATACAGTTGAATAGCGATAACTCAAACCTCCCCAAGTCAAATACTAGCTTATGCCAAGTACATATATTTTTTCAAGTCCCTCTCTGTAATCTTTTAGAAATGATTTACGGATGGACCATCTCCAAACGAAATTCAAGGGACCAGAAAAAATTCGCCGTAGCGAATTCTTGTGTAGATAACCCCTAAAATATGGAAGAGAACCCAATGGAAAAAAAAATCACTATAGAGAAGATCGTCGTAGACAAGAGCGTTATATAGGTTGAAGGGAGTGAACCTGTACTAAAAACCTCCCTATATCGAAGTCTTTCCCTTTCAAACTTTATAACTCGTATTTTAGAGGCCTTTCGGTTTCATTCATTTCTTTTTTTCAACGCCCAAGAAAGAGAAAAGCAATAAAAACTTAACTGTTGAAGTGAAAGATTAATTGGTCAACGAACGCTCGGTTTCAAGTTCAGCATCTTGTCAACTTCTTTAAAAAGCTGTTTTGGGCAAAAAAGCTCAATAATCTCAACTGTCTTCAGTTATACTTTTCTCGTAAGGAAAACATGGTAGTTTCCCCAACTCGAAACCTCCTCCAAGTCGATTTTTTCTTCTTTGCTAGTCCCTTGGAATTTGTCTTGAAGAGGCTCAACTTTACATGGTGGCACCCAGCAAGCTTGCATCCGGACTCGGGAGTGAAGCAACATCCCACTGCTCAATTTGTTTCTTCTCACCCTCAACTCAAAAATTTTGGAAATGTGTGCACCCTATTGAAGGCAGAAGGAAGTTTACTCTTTCTACTACTGGTCCTGCACCCTATTTTTTCCCTAAATCATCTCTGGAGAACAGCAGCTTAGTGGAAGGAGTTGCCTCACAACTTTTTTTTGTTGTCGACAGTTTTCAATCATTCCAATGTTTCTTGTGACCATGCCATGGCACTCAAGACCATAATACCACAGACCATTTGAAAGCAAATGTAACAAGTTTTCATTCGGTATTTTTTTCCTTCGCCCCAGCTTAATTCGTCACCAAGCTATTCCACGTCAAAAATCAGTTTACTTCTTCGGTCCACCCTGTATAAAGAAATGTTTACAAATACAGCACCGGTAATTGTAACAGTACAGGTATTCGTAAAAATTTATTTATACGGGTGGACCAAAATAAGTAAACTTATTTTTGACTTGGAATAGCTGGAATTTTTTTGGACACAGCTCAATTTGCTATTGAGTTATTCCAAGTCAAAAATCAGTTTACCTTTTTGGTCCACCCTGCATAAAGAAATGTTTACAAATACAGTACCTGTAAGTGTAACAGTACAGGTATTCGTAACTATTTATTTATACAGGATGGACACAAAAAAAGTAACATGAACGTTCAACTTAGAATAGCTCAATAGCAAATTGAGATGTGTCAAATAAAAAAAATTAAAAACGCCAAATGGAAGCTTGTTCAATTCGCTTTCCAACGGTGCGTGGTTGTATGGTCCACAAGTCCCACGGCATGGTCACAAGAAGAAACATTGGTCTGCATGCAAGCTGTCGTCCAACAAAAAAAAAGAAGAAGAAAAGAAAACACACACACACACACACACACACACTCCATCTACAGGAGAAGGGGACATCCACGGGGGTTAATGGGTATATGAGCTGATGATGAAGACGAACCTGAGGTAATTGAGAGTGTAGGACGTGAGGCCCTGGCGCGTGATGTTCTTGCTCAGCTCGGCAGCGTCCGGTGAGATGGGCTGCTGTTGCTGCTGCGCGTTCGCCACGTGCATGGCCACCACGGAACGCGGGATGAACTCTCGGTGCGTCCGGATCGACATGTGCCACGACTTGATCCGCATCAGGTCGTCGAACGTGAACTCCAGTATCAGTCTCCCTTCCATGCAAACCTTTTTTTGGGGGGGGGGGGGGCGAGAAAAGAAAAGGAGCGAAAATTACAACAAACGTCTCAATCATCAAGCGACACGTGTATGCTAGAAATTCGAATTCAAGTACCGTGCGTCGAATACAAGTGGACTCTTTCTGAAACGATTTTCTCGGTAAAATCTTTTTTTGTTTTTTTTTTTGGTAGTCCCATAGAGTTTCCTCCGCATCATGTTACACCGGGTTCTCTAAAACGAGATTTTAGGGACAAAAAAAAAAAAAAACATTCAACTAGAGAGGGAGAGTCCACCGATATGAGCACCCCTTTTTTTTCAATTTTAGAGGTTCGAAAACGGGGGGTGGGAGGTCATATACCACATCTTTTCGAGTACCACGCTCACCTTCCACCCGAAAAATTGAGTAAAAACAATGAATGAGGTGCATGTCGTAATCGGGTACAGCGTTTCAAGTGACAATTCATTTAAAAATTGGTAACTTTTCTCCTCACTTAATAAAAATTTCTTCGGAGTTGTCCTCTTTGAATTATACAATTATTTGCATAAAATGAAAAATATCGCCATTGAATCGATTTTTAACTGGAATTTGATTTAGCTTTTTAGCCATCACAGCTGTTCAAATAATGTATGAATTTAGATCATTGATAACTAAGGTGCGTGTCTTATGTGGAGATAACCTTTTCTCAAAATGTTAGCTAAAATCCAAGGTGCGCGTCTTATTCGAGTTTTTCGAAATGCCGGTTTCCACATACTTGGGATTAATTACAAGTTTACGCCGAAGATTATCAAAATCATGCATTTACCGCAGTGCCCTCTGGTATTAATGAAGCGACGACGAACGTGAAAAAATTTCACGAATATTCCTACACCTACGACTCATTAATTGTAAAAGACGCACAAGAAAATTTTCTCACAATTCTTGTTAGGTGTCTACGTGCTTCTGAAAATTTCCGCAGAACGATGAACAAAACCCAACACGGGACCTAATGAGGAATGTTCAAGAGGTGGATAAAAAGGGGTCGGCATGCGCCCTTGACAGCAGCTTAATCACACTCCAGGAATAATTGATCCCCTCTTACGACCCCTCGCCGACCCACCTAGAACGAAGGGGCCCCAAGTTAATTCACGGTCGCGGCGATGCCCTTTTCAGCACTAACCACAGAAAAATAACACGCACACACTCGTCCATCCAGAGCCCTTGAAACCGTCGTTTCTGTCAGTTTAATATAAGAGATATGCAATCGAAGGCGACCTGAAAAACGTCATTGCTGCAAACAAATTACGTTTCAATGCAACGTTGATTATTTAGAAAAATCCCGGCTTTCTCAAAACATACGGAAGCAAAAAAAAATGAAACAAAACAATCTGAGAAATATTTCCTCACTGTTAACCCCCCAAAATCTGAAATAGCGGTGTATAGCAAAAAAAAACTCTAATGACATTTTTTAGAAGAACTTTCGCGATGTTTTCCGCCCAACTTTGATTTCCATTTCAAAAGACATTATCGTATTCAGAAGATAGAAGTCTATCTGCTGTAAAATAAGATTCCATTTGAAAATATAAATTACTGTAGCAACATGAGCAACATTGCTTTAACGACTCGATATTCTAACTTTGCTCAAATTGTGCTTGCTTCTGTCGACTTGAAACGTGATCATGCTTGATCGAAGACCAGAAATCCCAGCTTCCCCTGCAAGCATGACGTACTGTATTTTTGATTTTTAAAAAAAGTTTAAAATAAAAATACAGTACGTCATGCCCATTTTCATTCTCATTTGAAGAATTTCCGATTTTAGCGCTTCTCATTGACTCGTATATCATCTAGATTCTAAAAAAATACCTGCCTTAAATTCAAAGCGCGGAACGTCTTCACTTGAAAAAAATTTGCTTGCTTCTTTCCGCTGAACATGATCAAAAATAGCGAACACAACCAAAATTTGAAGGAACCGCAAAATATATGAGACACTAAAATGTACACGGTTGCGAATCACCGTCTCCAAACTTTGATCCACAGACAGGAAAACCGGCATCAAAACTCGTAGTTTTCATGTGACCCAATTCATTTTTTCTCGGATTGACTATTAACCGGGTTGATAGAAAATACTGTAGAACTAAATTTCCAGTAATGCACCAAAAATATCCGAATTCCATAAAAAATTCGGATATTCTTTTTTTTTTACATCATGCAAGGAACCAGAATATTTCGTCTCAATAATCAAATTTAATAGCAGAAATGAAGCAGGTATATTTTCTTCCGCGGATTTTTCTGCATTCGGAAATAAATTTCACAGTGAACTAGACAATTTCCATCATTGACTTAAAATTTGCACACGGTTCATCAAAGGCCGTAATATCGAGATTCGACGGCAGTTTTTCCCCCACCTCCGTCACAAACAGCGCCAAGAATTCAAAAACCCAGCAAGCTCAACCGCGATTTTCCAGAACAACGCCAACATTATCCTAAACCAAACAGACAAGAAAAGCAATAAATGTACAGTATTCATCGTCGAAAAGGAACAATAATCCCGAGTGCTCATCCTCATCACGGCGACACGGGTTCGAGCCCGTTTTTTCCTAGACGTACGCTCGTGACGGGAGCCGAAATATACTGAATACTGCACAGACATACAGTAAAATGAAAAAATATAAAATAAAATAAAAATCGCGGCTTCAATGATTAGCAAGCGATTATGTGTGACGAAATCGATCCATCGACCCCCCCGGTCGCCATAACGACGAATACTCGGCGCGAGAGACGGGGGCATCGCGCGCTCACAGGGGTAACGTGCACATCGCAGGCCCAGGCCCAGAACCAGGCGACCACGCGGGGAGAGGGCGGGAGACCGAAGGCGGATTTCACGCTTTCTTTCTTCCCGAACACCCCACAGCCCACCACCCCCCACTCTTCCGACTCCTGTGGCATTCCGTCAGCCTGTCTCCAGCCTTGCCAACACATCCCCAACCCCATCCTTCTTCATGCCAGAGCATCTCAACCTTCCTGGCGCAGACAGACTTTTTCTTTTTAATAAATGAGTTAATAATTCTGATTTTTTTCACGTATTTTTTGTTTTGCGAAGGAGCACCTAAAGCTTCTCCCGTCGACGAATATGACCTAGCTCGCAAATTAACCCAGTAACTGCCAAATTTCCTTGATCAAATTGAGGGATTTTGCAAAGGGATCAAGGTTCTTGCACTTGTCGTGATTGATCAAAATATCAGAAAATTGGGTACTTTCCTGTTATCTCAGAACCTACTTTCCTGTTATCCCTGTACCTTCCCTCTGACCAATTTAACCTGACCTAACCTAACCGCCTCCCAAAATCAGTTTCAGCAGAATGCGGAAAAATAAAATTCAGTTTCTAGTAGGTTGTTGTGATTATGAACTTGTCCTACAGATTTGTCTGGATGGTAGGGTGGTCTAGGAATGAGGTACTGAGATAACAGGAAAGTACCGAAAAGTGAATAAAATAGGACAAAGCATTCAGAACTAACCAGGCTACAAATACAAGGACATAAACAATTTTGAGTTTAGCTGCACAAGAAAGTACAAAAATCACCTGAGTCCCAAATGGGGCCCTTGGCAGGTAATTGGTTAAAGTTGTACTGTACCTCTTTAAATGAAATTTCAAGCAACCACCGAAAACTTTGAGTTAGGGAAACAAACATTCTTGTAGCAAGAAAGATGGAATAATTGCGGGAAATTAAAACTGGTGATATTCTTGGCCTTGAATTGCTTCTTAATTGAGTTGACAGGATTTTGAACTTGGAAGCAAGGGTTCATTTGCACAATTAGTTTTTCACTTCCTTTTGAAACACATCAAGTTACTCATTTATTGTTCTTTTATGTTTCCGGGGTCAATAAAATAATAGCCACAAGACCTTAGGAAATTCGAGTTAAGGAGATTTAAAAGGGAAAGCCTTTGACTTGAAGAAGTTTTCAATGCATTGCTTCTAAAGGAATTCAGACGAGGACTTGAAAACAAAATTTGGCTAGGGGAGGTACAGAATTCGACTCAGGGATATTCGAGTTATTGAGGTTCAACTGTACAGTATTGTACTTTTTTCTGTACACAGGTGGACTCTTTCTACAACGATTTTCTCTTTGCAAGGAATTGTTTTTTGTTCCACAAGGTTCTCTTCCCATGTTATAGCTGTGGTCTCCATAACGATTTTCTTCCGGTCCATTCAATTTAGTTTGAGGAGAGTCCAATACTGTAATTTATTAAATTTTTTTCGGAAGACCGCCTCAAGCTTCCCTTGATGATGCAAAATCACTTCAGGTGGACTCTCGACAGGGATTTTGTCTACAACGATTTTCTCGGTATAACGAATTTTTTTGTGGGTCCCATAAGGTTCTCTGGCAATGTTATAAGGGTCCTTCACAACGACATTTTCTCTTCCAACACAGCTTTTCTGGTCCCTTGAATTCCGTGATTGGGACTTCCACGTGTATCGTTATATTACAGTATTCCGAAAACGGAACGAAACCCTCGCTTTTTGTTTTTACTTTTTTAAATGTTATTTTCCATTCGGCAGAACCCAATTCTTGAAATTGAACGCCATGAACATTTCTTTCTGACTATGGCTCCATTGAGCACATGTTACGAACCCTTTGCCCTGAATCAACGGTCCTCAACCTTTTCAATTAACAGCAGGAATTGAGCACAGCCTCTTCAACTTGACTGCGGAGAAGCCACCCTGAATGAACCTGGACTTCTGAAGATTTGAAAAGTGCGAACTTGAGAACCCCGTTTTGCAAATCGATTTTCTGCAGCTGGGAGGCTTTCGAAATCATTATACAGCACAGCAAAGCGAAATAACGAAGACCACGCGGCTTACTGCCGATCTTTTAATATATTTTTTTAAAGCTAAAAAACACAGAGTGGTTGAAACTTTTGCTTCAACCTCGACTGTAGGCCAAGATGAAATTCAGCAGGCACCAAGAATGAGGTGAGCGAACACTTCACTACTTTGTCTAGAAGGGTGAACAATGCAAAATCATTTCAAAAAGC